TTGTCCCTGTGTATTGGTTCTCGTGCTGATGACTATTGAGTAAAGGCGCATGAGTATTGAGTGAAGGCTTTGGTTTTCCAAGCAGGAAAGCCAAGTGACCAGTGCTTCTGTACTTGAATCACCTACAAGCTGGGTCCACAAACGTCACGTAGTCAAACTTGAAATGTTCTTTCTTGAAACTTCACATTGAGCCAGGCGAGGTTCGTGCTGATACTATAAACCGCAATGGTTCAACCCCAATTCTGATATTTCATCACCGAATGGAGGCACGTATGCAGGTACAGTTCACACACTTCACTGACGCAAGCAATCGGCATTATTTGTTCTCACAAGCCAACTGATTCACCACGTGAGCTCACTGCAGCATTGGCAGCATTTACTGTGGAATGCTGTGTAGCTACGGCGATACACTGAGCGATTCAGGTACATGTAATCTACAGCTATCATCACCTCAAATCATGTCTCCCTGCATTTGCTGCCATGCAAATAAATCTTACTGGATGCAATCGACTGGCAGGGTGTGTGCAGCAATGCAGCCACTGTCAACAGCATGCAGGGAATTACTCAAATGATCTCAAAGAAGATCACACCAAAATGTAAGCTGCTTCAACGATTTTAACACTCATTGGCACAACTCAATCAAACTCAATACAAAAGCGGGCGGCGAGCCCTGCGCGGGTATTGCTCGCTGTCCGTTCGGCGGGCGGCCGAGTGCGCTGCCAGCCGGCCTGTCCTCCGATCAGCGGTGACCTCTGAAGCCCTGCAGCAGCGTGCTGCGGCACCGGCCCCTGTAGTCCTGCAGCGCGTCAGAGCCGCAGCGAACGCTCGGCAGGTCAAAGATGCCGCGCATCATCAGCTTATCGCACACCAGCTGCCCAGCCGCCGCGTCCAGCCACAGCAGCTGCTCGGCCTCGCAGCCGGCGTCCGGCTCCTGCAGCGGGTAGCAGCCGGCGGCGCCCGGCGCCAGCCACGGCAGGCTGCCGTCGCGCACGCACATGTTCTCGACGCAGTGCGCGACGCCGTCGGCCGCCGTGGCGACGTAGCGGCCGACGCCGCACGGTCCCTGGCGCAGGGCCGCGTAGCAGCGGCCGTCCGCTGGCCAGCGCACGAATCCCGGTCGGCACGCGCACACGCCGCCGCCGTACTCGTCCATGGTGAGGCTCATGCCGGCCGGGCAGGCGAGCGGCGCGTCTGCCGGTCGGCAGTCGCCGTCGACCAGCAGTTGCTCGTCGGGGCAGGGCAGCGGCCGGCAGCTGGCCTGCCCGTCGCCGCCCATCAGTAGCATCTGGCCCTCGGGGCAGTCGGCGGCCGAGCCCAGCACCTGACACCGCCCCGTGTCCGGGTGCACGGCCGACACCGACTCGCCGTCGCACGTCGGCAGCGACGGCGCGGCGCGGTCCCACGCGCCGGCGCCGTGCCAGTCGGGGAACATCACGTGGTTTGCGGAGGCGGTATGCTCCGATGGCGTGGCGTCACCGGCGATGGGTTGCCCAGGCGCTGCGCTCTGGTGCGCTAGCCTAGCCAACGCTGCAGCTGCGTCCGTCTCACCGTCTTCTTGAAGTCTGCCTCCGTTGGGCGCGCCTTCAGGTCTCGCCGAGTACGCGGTGTTGAGGCGCGCGGCGCCAGACGCTGAAAAAGCTGCGCCCGCCGTGGGCTCAGGCGCTGACAAACCTGCACCTCTGAGCTCAGCGGACGCGCCAGGGCCGGAGCTGGCCCCCGCCGCCATCCCCGCCTCGCGCGAACCTCCAGCCGGTGCTTCTCTCGCGTCGTGCGCCACCCCGCCGTCCGTCAGACGTGCGCTGAACGCCTCCGCTGGGACCCGGCGCCGCGTCAGGTCACCGCTGGGCCCGCCTGCGCTCCGGTGCCTCTGAGCGGAGCCGAGAGTGGCCCCGCGAGAGGAGCCAGCTCGCTCAGAGGCCTCGGCCGGGACCGGCGCGGACGCCACCGTGGACGCGGCTGGCGCGGAGGCCCCGCCGCCGTGGCCGAGGAGCGCGGCCTCGCTCACCTCCTCCCCCGGGAAAAGGAAAACCGAGGTGGAGGGGCGGCTGCAGGCGCATGCCAGCAGCGCGGCCAGGCAGGACGGCAGCAGAGCTGACCTCATGCTGCAGGACGGTGGCTGACCTGACCTGGGAAGCAGGCGCTCGGCTCGGCTGCCGAGGAGCTGGGCGTCAGTCTGCTGCCTCTCACTGACTGGCTGCTCTGGTGCGCACGCTCGGGCGCCCGCTTACATAGGACGGGTCGTAAACAAATCGGTGCCCCAGCCGCTGGTGTCACGCCGTTTTGGCGATGACGTCGCGGTGGCAGGAACGCCCCGGAACTCGCGTCACTGGCAGGATCTATGCTATTTGTGAAGGTCACAGACGCTCCTGCAGTTCTTAACGTAACCGGTTCCGGACGCGAACTATTTTTATTTCTTAGTCATCCGACCAGTGGCCCGTCCGGTAAACGGGGATTCCACCGGCCTGCATGGGTTAAAGAACATCACTTTTGGGAGCAAAGGCTCCGGATTGCGGAGAGCTTTGACAAGCATCTCACACTGGATGTACGGCATTTTGTAATTGACATGTCGAAAGACAAAAATTCAGGAGAATTTGCTTTTCCTGGCCTAGTCCAACCTAGCCGAAACGACTTCCTCCTAAAAGCTCATATGACTTAACTTTCACGTTCGGGTCATCTAAAGACTCGAAGGACCCTTATCGCGATGCTTTGAGTGCCAGATTTCTGGCACGCGAGGATTTCTGGTACCTATTAGACATTCTCCATTATCATAATAATGAAGAATGTGCAAAAACGTACACCCTTGGTGCGACCCTGCAGTCGCACAGAACAGACACTAGCCTGGAAATGTGGGGTAGGGCGTTTGAGGTATTTCGTTATTTGCGTAAAGCACCAGCTGGCACCGTCCCATCACGATGGCACCCACCACCGCTGTCATTATAACAACATGATATACAATAGCACGATAGATAAGCACAAAACAGCAATTTATTGTCTTTTCTGAATGCATGCGATTGGGTGGACGAAACCAACCTTCTACCGGTAGATAATGACTTAAGCCAGTACGACGAAAAGTCTTTTCATCTTGGACCACATCGAAACTGGCCGTCACAGATCCACCAAACTTGAACACCATTCGACAGCATTCATTCGACATTCGACCAGAGCCATCCTCACTGTTTGGTGGGAACCGGCCAAACGAGACGAACCGTGGCCGGCCCAACTGCCACCGTCGCCGGCGAGCGGGAAGGCCAGTCCCCTCCAGGAGCGCTGTGGCAGACATGCAGGGGGATGCCTACGCAGATCATGGTCCGACCGGAATGACCCGGCTGTCGACGTCTCGCAGCTCGAGAGAAATGACGGCAAATGGTCCGAAACGACTGCGAACGGAACCGTTCGAGGCCGGAGGCCAGGGTGTCAGGTATTTTTGAGCTGATCAGAGGAATCAGTTCTGAATCTGTCGGAAGCTGCGTGAACGAGTCCAAAGCTGATTAGACCGTTGGGTACATGGACAATACGAGCCGGCATCCGATCTTGGCGAAAACGGAATTGATTCCAGAGTCAGCTTCGATTCCACTGGAGTCAGACGAGTCTGGAAAATCAGGGAAAGGCCCGGGTCCCATACAAGTTCGTCATCTCCCGTTCAAATTTCTAAGCAAGAGTTATAGATTTACCCAAAAGGTGGCAGCTCAGTCCGGTACAACGTTGCCTGTCATGTCCGCGTTATTATGAGGGTTTGGCGTAGACCAGTCCCAAGGCCCTAGATCTACTGGCGTTTGTGCACTACCCTGGGCGGAAATGCCCTGGGTCACCCCTGGGTCAGGTTGTGGGCGTGATCTGCGTTTTTTCTTCAAGCTGACAGTTTTCGATGGGTGAAGGGGATGAGGACACACCGAAAGGAATGTGCCGCCGAACAGGGGCAGATCTAGCCTGGAGTTTTGTTTTTTTGTTGTTTTTTGGGGGGGGAAGCGTTCGCCGCCAGCTGGCTGGTGTGGGATCCGAGGTCCAGTGCATGGTGCCTCTCGCGAGTACCTAGAAGGGACACCATTCAAAACCGAAAAAAAACACCGAAATGCTTTTGAATCTCAAACAGAAGTTAAAACAAAACAGTTAAAACTGTTAAACTTCAAACGGACGGTAAGTACACGAAACTTTAATTAAGTTCTGGGAATGTTTTTTTTAAGGGGGGGCAAAACATACTTTCAAAGGTTTTGGGAGCCCGTGCCCCCCCGCAGGATCCGCCTATGCTACCGGAATGCGTGGACAATAGCGGCATGCTTCCCTCATTTGTAAGGCGTTTCCTGCAAGGATCTTCTTACGTTGCAATACATAATTTCACGGTTTTTGGGGCTTAACAGGTAGGACGTGAACATGGCAGCCGCGAAAGCACATTGCAAAGATGATGTGCATATGTGTGGCGTGGTGGTCAGCAACGTTACAGCCAAATTAACGGCGATGTGACAGTGCAACTCGAGATCGGCGTTATAACAAGAGGGAATTCGATTTTTCTGTCCTCTCCCGGAGATTTAATCCAGACTCGTGACATGAGGCAGCAACCATGCCGTGTATTCTCACGTAACGGCTGTCCTGGTATGAAAACCAGTTAAGACCAGTTACACCTACAAGATGACACTTGTCACGCTGGTAACAAAACGCGCTCCAATCCATAATCGGACCGGACACACTGATGGCCAGTTGAAAGATCTGCTACTACCGTGTTTGGCGGCACGCTACACCACACCGCACATGTTCTTGTTCTGTGGAGTGATATTATACCGTCAATAATTCGTAGCCGGCCCAACCCTAGCCCTAATGCCCTGTGCCTTGAGCCAACTCGACGAACCCGATTATCGATCACCGCGCACTATACGCCTCTCCGGACGCATGCCATACGCCATGTTGAAACTAACCTCGAAATGATTGGGTGACGGTTGATGTGTGATGCATGCGCCTCGCCAAGCTTATTTTCATTGGTTGTTTTGTGACGTTTTTCATGGGTATGACGTCATACAGTGAAATAGCCTATGTACACCGCCATCTTTGTTCGCACTTGACCTTCCCTGTGGGGTCGTGGACGGTGGGTACGCCTAGTAGAAGAAATTTCGCGAAAATACAGGTGTTGAGTGATTGAACTGATCCTGCTGAAAAGGTGGTGTGGTGTGGTGTTATTCCTTTGAGTGTTTTTAGGCGAATGGCGTATGCGGTGCTCGAGAAGCTGCAGGATTTACGCGCGCATGGTGCTCGGCCGCGAATCAATGCTCTTGTACTGGATGGTATTAGGTTCGCCAGTAGTGATGTTACCCCATCTCAACAGCTCAAGACAGTACTGAGAGAAACTCGAGAAGTACGATCGTCATTTTGCTGTTCACATAAGTTGTTGGGATGACTACCATGTACGATAGTGCTGGTAAGTGTTCATTTATCAGCCATATTGATGTTTGCATGTTGAATGTTGGGGAATATTTAGTGTTTATTTCTGATGTTGCTTGTGGACTGACACGGGGTTTGGTCACTTCAAGTTTCAGTATTTGTGTGCTTTGGTGGCAGAGATGCTGATATTTCATCCTCTTACACCCCTTGTGGGGCTCGCTGCCTGCTTCATGCCTTACACTTGCTCAAAATTGGCAAAGCAGCATCAAACTGGCAGGTACTAAGTGCATGAAGTCATGAAAAATGAGCTGAGTAGGCCAGATGTCTGGGTTCAGGGTTAAAGAGCCGGGGCGGATCGAGCCTGGAGTATGGGGGGGGGGCAACCGTTCGTCGCCAACTGGCTGTTGCGGGATCTGAGGTCCAGCGTATGGTGCCTCTCACAAGCACATGGTAGAGACACCATTCAAGCACTGAAATGCTTTTGAATCTTAACAGAAGTCAAAACAAAACAGTTAAAATAGGTAAAGTTAAAACAGATGGTAAGTAGACAAAACTCTTACGAAGTTCTGGGAATGTTGTAGGGGCCAAAACATGCTCTCAGGTTTTTTTTAGGGCCACGGCCCCATGGCCCCCCAGGATCCGCCTATGTAAAGAACAGGCTGATTAATGCCAACAAATTATGTGTAGAGGTGGACAGAAAACCAAAATTCTGGTAGCATGCATTTATGTTTACATCCTGGACATCCTTTATAGTGAATGTTGGAATGCTTCTCAGTTCAGGGATGGGCATATGTGAGTATACCTTAGATTGCCTTTCTATCAATCAGTTATCCTTGATAAATAAAATATATGTATATGTATAAATATATTACTTGTATGTATATATATATATATGTATATATATGCATGCCATTTAAATAGAATGTAACATGCCTGTTCAGTCAGTATGTATGGGTCATAGGCTAGACTGCAAAAATAGGCACATAGTCACAAACATGTTCAGAGTAGCAGCAACATTCTGGTGGCAATTTGATTATGTGCTGAAATATTTTTCTACTGAGTAATCTGGGAGGTTTAAGAACCTATTGACTGCAATTGTAAATTTGAGAGGCCAAGTCTGGCACTCAGTCCCAACTTATTTCAGTTAAATATGGCCAGTGTTTAAGTGAACTAATGCACTAAGGTAATTTTCAGCTAAACTACATGCAAACTGGATACTTATTTTGCCATGTGGAAATTAGTTGAAAATTTAAAACATTTTTTCCTGGCCCAAGGTGGATGCCCCAGGCCCAGTGCATTAATATAATCTGTCTCATAACATCCAGCTTTGTGTCATATGCTGACAGTGCTGTATTTGGCTGTCTGGTTACAGCGGCTTCTTGACACATGTGGGAAAATATGTGTGAACTGTTAGAATTATCATTTTCAAAATATTAGTGGATATTTTATATTTTTGGTGAGTGAAACTGCAAGACTAATAATAATAAATTGTTCCATTGTAAGGATTTATATGATGGTTATGATAATTATGACAGATCTTCATGAGCAGGCTATTTGCTAACACCCTGAAAGTAGACACCAAAGCATGGAAGTGCCTTCATTAAACTCCCTCTTACCTCACACATGGTATCTTGCCATTCAACAAACAAAATCCTGGTAGCTCTGTGATCACCTCTGTTATTTTCTTTGTATTAACTGCCCTCTCCAAAACTGAACATAATCAGAAGATTATTGGCACCTCTTTCAGGGGTTTAACAATGTTTGGGCACCTCAAAACTGATCCTTAATATTGTAAGGCAATTATGGAATGTACAAGCACCTGCCATCAAACCAATGGTGTTGGAATATTAGAGTCAGAACTCTAATTCCATAGTAAAAAGGCCTCAGTTCCCTTACCCAGAACATCACCTGTGACCAGGGGCATTGTTTTGCAAAATTAGTGGGCAGGCTGAGATGGGAAAATGACTAAAAATGCCCCCAAAATGTCTCTGGTTCCCCCTGACCATTAACTAAATAAAACCACAGCCCTGCTTGTCAGGTCATCAACAGGCAACCCATGGCTTGAACATCACACATCACACTGCTCCTGTTTTGGTCAGGAAGCATGATGGCTATGGCTGGAACATATGCATTGCTTAATCATGGTCTTGGCATGACCTTAATCACCTGGCCACTATCATTGGGTAGGGTGGGATCAGATTAGGTCACTGTTTTCAACATGAAGCTGTACCTTGCTTTCTGTCACCATTTCGATTCACCAACTTCACTGGGGGCAGAATGTTCACCTTGTGTAGCTCAGTGTCTTTTTTGTGTTGTGTGCACTGATGTGGTACCAAAAATCACTGGATGGACATTCTCTGATTAATGTGCATGGACATAAAAATTCCTTTGCATTCTGTAAAGCTCTGTTGGGTGTCTTTTGACTTGCTGACACCCACTTTCCAAAATGATCAACTGGCCACATTTCAGTTGATTGCTGACACACTTAGCTGGACAGTAATAAGATTGCTTAGCATCCTGTAGGTGGCACATTTGTCTATGCCATTCAGTTGTTCTCATGGCTTTGTCAGGTTATCCCTTGAAAATTCAGAGTAATGTTTGCACTATATCACAAGCATTATGAGTTTAGGGTTCTGATGCTGAGAATAATCAATGTTCACTGCGGAGAGGTACTGGTTAAATGGCATTATCAGGTAAACTGGCTTGGTTGTCAAAGCATTTCATGTCAAACTGTTTATGGTCCATGAGTGATTCGCCACTTGTCATTTGTTTTTATGTTGTGGTGCAGTATGTGCCTACTTTCTATATTGTAGCTTGGCAGTGGGTAACATGAGACACATTCTTTTTTACACCTGTGTGATGCTGCTGAGGGAGGTAATACAAGATAAAGCGGCACTCGAGTGTGGCGCGGACGGTGCTGGCGGCGCCACCCCGGCGGTCCGTTGTGCGGCGGCCGCCAGCCGGCGGTGACGGGGGCTGGTCGGCCACAGGACTGGCAGAGCTGGCGCACCGCGAGTACCAGGCGGGCGACTACGAGAACGCCGAGCGTCACTGCATGCAGCTGTGGCGGCAGGAGCCGCACAACACGGGCGTGCTGCTGCTCCTCTCCTCCATACATTTCCAGTGTCGCCGACTTGAGAAGTAAGCGGCGGCGCGGGGCCGTGAGAAGTCCGAGGATTATCCGTGAAATTTGCATGCGACGTTTGAGCTCCGCGACCTCCTGGCGTGAAATTTCCATGGCCTAGGGCTGGTGGCTTCGCGATGTAGGTGCGTTGAATGCGTTATCTGTGAGTGGTGGTGGTCTATTGGAAACTATTTTTGCCGTTGCGGTGTACTTGAGTGTCAGTAGTGCGAACTGATTCTGGTTGTTCCCAAGCCATCCTAGCAGCAGGTTGCTCCGTGGTTGTCCATACGCCAATCCGCCGTCTTGTTCGCGCCAGGTCGGCCCACTTCAGCGCCATGGCTATCAAGCACAACCCGATCCTTGCCGAGGCATACAGCAACCTTGGCAACGTGTACAAGGAGCGCGGTCAGCTGCAGGAGGCGTTGGACAACTACCGACACGCAGTGCGGCTGAAGCCCGACTTCATCGACGGCTACATCAACCTGGCGGCAGCTCTGGTGGCCGCCGGCGACCTGGAGGGCGCCGTGCAGGCCTACGTGTCGGCACTGCAGTACAACCCGGTCAGTGGCGCCGCCGCCCTGGCGCCACCGGCTGACGCCGACAACCGCCGGAATCGTCACGTGCATTGTGACGGGTGTGATGAGAGGGAACTGCTGTGAGTAGGCCCACCCTGTTGGGTGTGTATGACTCATCTAGTGTCCGACGTGGCGCCATGGATGTGTTGCTGTGATGTGCGCGGCGGACACGACGCGTGACGCTGTGTGTGCGTCGCCGCCAGGACCTGTACTGCGTCCGGAGCGACCTGGGCAACCTCCTGAAGGCGCTAGGCCGGCTAGACGAGGCCAAGGTACGTCGCTCTGTGCGTGCCGGCGCTCTGCAGCAAAGATCCCACCGGCCGGCGGCTCACCGACGCCCCGGGCCCTCCGCCGCGTCCGCGACCCCCCTCGCGCTGCCCGCGGCCGGCGGCGCGCACGCCGCGCCGTCGGCCGGCCGCTCTCCGGGCGGGCCGGCCCGTGCGGCCGCGCGCGCTCCGCCCCCGCCGACACAGCGGGCGGGCGGCGCCGGCTGGGCGCGCCTCGCCGGCTCGGCGCGCCCCTCAGGCGACGGCGCGCGCCCGTCAGGCGCGTGTGAGGCGCGCGCCGGCGCCGCCCGCTCGACCCCGCTCACCGCGCCCTGCGATTGACAGGTGATCCTGAGGGCCGCCGGGCCCGCGCGCTTTGCGACTTGACGGCGGCCGGCGCGGGGCGGCGCCACTTGGGCGGCGCCGCCCGGGGAGGGTTTGGTGGCGCGAGTCGGTGTACGCGAGTCTGCAGGACCGTCACGACAGCGGCGATCGGCCGCCGCCACGCGCGTTTTTTGGTCGTGGTTTGGGCGCGAGCCTGCGCGCCCGGAGAGCGGCTCCCCGTCCGTCGGCGTCGGCGCGCGCCGGCGCCCGGCGCCCGCCGCAGCGCACTGCTGCAGGGTCGCGGACGCGGCCCGGCCCTCCTCCGACCCGCCTCCCTCCTGCGGCCCTCCTGCGTCCTCGGCCCAGCCCCGGTGGGATCTTTGCGTCCGCCGTGTGTCTGTGTGATGGCTCTGTGGTTGCGTGCCGTGCCGTGCTGAGAGTCGTGCTGCCGCCGTGTCCGCCACCAGTCTGCGTGCTTTCTGTTGACGGCAGGCAGAAAGCTGGAGCGCGAGAAATAAGTGCCGATTTTTCGCCTGGCGGCTGAACCGTCCTGTGTACAATGAGGCGGACGTAGGTACAGTTTCTGTATCATAGCCACTCTCCGCGTTGCCGATTGTCGAATTTTCCTTTCGGGCCGACATTGTCGTAATGATTCACGTCTCAAGTGCGGTTTTGTCTGCTCTGCGGCTACCCGTTTCGCTCTGTAACGTAATGCAGCCTGTTGTGCCCGGTTCGATGGGGCTGTGTTGTTCTCGGCCCGTCTGGCCGCCGTGCCTGTGTCACTGCGTGTGTGTGTGTGTGTGCCACCTCGTATCCGACGCCGGTGCCAGCCACCACTAACCGGCTCCCACTCTATCTCTGCACGACTAGATGTGTGGACGAGGCGGGCCGGCCGGCCGCCGCCGCGCCGCCGCCCGTGGCGCGCTGTACCGGTAGGTCGGTCGCCGTGAGCGTGTCCCGACCCGGGTTAGTATCCACGGATAAGTATACCACTGTTCATGAGTGTCTGTGTCGCCCTGACCTGCGCGTGAATGTGCGAGCGTGCGAGTGTGCGTGAGAGTGCGGCTGGAGGAGTGCGGCGTGAGTGTTGACGTGAGGTGGCGCCGCCTGGCCGCCGGGCGGCCGCTTGTCCCCACCTGCCTGGCCAAATGCTGGACACGGGTGGGCCGCAGCTCAGCGTCGCCCGGCCGCCAGCCGGCGCCGCCTCCCTCTGTCTCGTCCGTGTCTGCTTTCGCAGAGGATCGCCCGCCGAGCGTCGCCAGCGCCTCGCGAGCGGCGGCGCTGCCGGCCGCGCCACCGCGTGCCGCCGCGGCCCGCGGCGCGGCGCCGGCCGCCGCCGGCAGCGCCGCCCGACTGCCGTTTTGCGCGCGCGCGCGCCGCGTCCCACGCGCCTCGCTCCCCGCGCCGCGCGCCTCCGCCGCCGCCGCGGCCAGCGCCCCGCCGCCCGCCGGCCGCCGCTGACCGCCGGTCCCGCTGCAGGGCTGCTACCTGAAGGCCATCGAGACGCGGCCAGACTTTGCCGTGGCCTGGAGCAATCTGGGCTGCGTGTTCAACGCGCAGGGCGAGATTTGGCTGGCGATCCACCACTTCGAGAAGGCGGTGGCGCTCGACCCCAACTTCTTGGACGCGTACATCAACCTGGGCAACGTGCTGAAGGAGGCGCGCATCTTCGACCGCGCCACGGCCGCCTACCTGCGCGCGCTGAACTTGTCACCCAACCACGCCGTGGTGCACGGCAACCTGGCCTGCGTCTACTACGAGCAGGGGTGAGCAGCGGCACGTGTACGGCAGCCGGCGAGGGAGCGATACTGATGCGTGTGGAGTATGTATGCCATTTGTTTGTGTGGCCCTGAAGGATCATCTTATAACCGATAGGATACTGGTGAATAATGATCGCTGGCGTATGTGCCAGGCATTTACGCCCTGCTATTTGCGTTCATGAATGCGCGCCGCGCCTGAAAGTGCGTCGCATCTGTTCATGCGCCCGCCTCGCGTTCTCAATCCGTGAGCGGTACGTTAACCGTGGAGCACGCGGCGACAGCCTGATCGACCTGGCCATCGACACGTACCGGCACGCCATCGAGCTGCAGCCCAACTTCCCCGACGCCTACTGCAACCTGGCCAACGCGCTCAAGGAGAAGGGCCTGGTGGCCGAGTCCGAGGAGTGCTACAACACGGCCCTGCGCCTGCTACCCACGCACGCCGACTCGCTCAACAACCTGGCCAACATCAAGCGCGAGCAGGGCTTCACCGAGGAGGCCATACGGCTCTACTGCAAGGTGAGTTAGGGGGAAGGCCATGTTGGCTGGGATGGGGCTGAGGTGTGTCAGGGACAAGGGGTAGGTGTGAATAGGAATAGTTCGAGACGGCTGGAAAGTGGGGATACCGGACCGCTCTGGCCTGCACAGTGACTGGTCTGAGAGGAAGTATGAGCCTGAAAGGAAGAAGCAGACTCATCATTTCCTTTAAAGAAAGCAGTGCGACTGTACAGTAGAGCACTGCTTCGCTTTTGGGCTCCATTACAGTGTAATCAGCCCAGACCTCCCCTCATGGAGCCATCGCCAACACAAATTGGGGTTGGCGTGTACGACGTGTGTGTGTGATCCAGCATCTCCAGCAGCAGCAGACGCGTGCTGCCACCTGGATTTGTCCGGTACGGCTCTGGTAACGGCCGCCACTGGCCGGCCCGAGCTGCGGGTGACGTGCGTCACGCCTCTGCGGCAGGCGCTGGAGGTGTTCCCGGAGTTCGCCGCCGCCCACTCCAACCTGGCGTCCGTGCTCCAGCAGCAGGGCAAGCTGAACGAGGCGCTCATGCACTACAAGGTGGGTCGGCCGACGGCGGGCGTCCGCCGCTCTGCGGTCCGTTCAGCGCAGAGGCTCGACGACTGCGGGCTGGTGCGGTGATCGGGGCGAGTGGTCGCGTCGTCGTTCACGTCGTGCGGCGCCCATCGGGATGTCGTTCCCGGTGAGTTGTCACGCCGCGGCGATCCGTGACTTATGCTCGTTGGTTGGTAACGGCGATGACTGCTCCGAGCCAGTTAGTGACCCAGCAACAGACCCGGTTTCGTGTGGGGAACGCGATCGCTCACCGGCCTCCCGCTCTCAACAGGAGGCGATCCGCATCCAGCCCACGTTCGCCGACGCCTACAGCAACATGGGTAACACGCTGAAGGAGATGCAGGACATCCAGGGCGCGCTGCAGTGCTACACGCGTGCCATCCAGATCAACCCGGCCTTCGCCGACGCCCACAGCAACCTGGCCTCGATCCACAAGGTGGGCGGGGCGGGCTGCGGACCGGCCAGGGGTCTGGCGTCCTGGTAAGACCCGAGGGCGGAGTGGCGCAGCGCCGTCCCCCGGCCAGGGGTCCCCAGCGTGACGGCTGGGCGGGGCAAGCTGTGGTCACGCGCTGGCAAGTTCGCAGGGTTTCTGTTGTGCTCGACGCGGGAGGGGTCGGTGTGGTCGGTGCGGCGGGCGGTGGTCAGCGGTCCGTTGTGCAGGGGTGTGGTGGCGGTCACCGCCGACCGGGGCCGACCTGACCTGACCTGAGCTGGCGCCGCCCACAGGACTCGGGCAACATCCCGGAGGCGATCCAGTCGTACCGGACGGCGCTGCGACTGAAGCCCGACTTCCCGGACGCCTACTGCAACCTGGCGCACTGCCAGCAGATCGTCTGCGACTGGACCGACTACGACGCGCGCATGAAGAAGCTCATCTCGATCGTGGCCGACCAGCTGGAGCGCAACCGGCTGCCGTCGGTGCACCCGCACCACAGCATGCTGTACCCGCTGTCGCACCAGTTCCGCAAGGCCATCGCCAACCGCCACGCCAACCTCTGTCTGGAGAAGATCGCCGTGCTGCACAAGGCGCCGTTCAAGTACCCGGCCGAGGTGCGTGGGCGGGTGGGCTGGCCGTGGATGGCTGGCTGACGGCAGGATTACCTTGGACGTGTGACACGTGCTGACCTGTCGGGGCGTCCGTTCTCCGGATTCTTGCCGCATGTGCCCGACGGCTGGTGTGGTCTCGGGACAGCCGCCAGCCAGGCTTCATTTTGTGAGTCTATCGCGCATCTGAGCAATAGCGTCACACGTGCATGAGGCGTCCGCCCGGGCGCTGGTGACCCCGCTGACCCTGCGCCCCCCACTCCTCCCGCAGCTGGCGCCGGACGGCCGGCTCCGCATCGGCTACGTGTCATCCGACTTCTGCAACCACCCGACGTCGCACCTGATGCAGAGCATCCCCGGCTTCCACCGCAAGGAGAAGGTGGAGGTGTTCTGCTACTCGCTCAGCCCCGACGACGGCACCGCCTTCCGTCAGAAGATCGCGCGCGAGGCCGAACACTTCGTCGACCTCAGCCAGGTGGGTGCCGCCGCCGCCGCCGTCGGCGCCGTGCGGGCGGCCGTCCGGCGTGCGCGTGGTGGGGGCTCTTCGGTCCAACCTCGGCGGATGTTCGGTGACGATCATGGTGGAGGGCTGCGGGCGCGACGGCTGCTGCGCCGCACAGTGAGAGAGGACCGCATACGGTGTAGTCCGGCCTGGGACACTGCAAAGTTTCAGCGGTGATAAGCCGGTAGGTGTTTGGTTGTTTTGTCCAGCTTCGCCTGGGACATGCTCGGCCCCAGCCAGCTGATTGTCGTCTGGAGGCTGTGTGTTGTTCCACCCCGTCGGGCCTGATGCCGTCCTCACCGCCCCGCCCCCGCAGATCCCCTGCAACGGCAAGGTGGCCGACCGCATCAACGCCGACGGCATCCACGTGCTGCTCAACATGAACGGCTACACGAAGGGCGCGCGGAACGAGATCTTTGCACTCCGCCCGGCGCCCATCCAGGTACGGTCGGACGTGACGCCGGCTCCGACGCCGGCGGCGGCCGCCGATGCCCGGCGCGTGAGCGGCACAGATGGCTGCCGGGGCGGAGGTGTGGGGCTTGTGGTGAGCCAAGGATATTGTGCGGCGGCGATGTAGGCTGAAAAGGCAGTGCCGCACGATGCGGGATAGCCGTCAGTGGCAACAAGATCGTCAGATTGTTGAGAGCTGTTGGCGGCTTGAAGCTGCTGTCGCTATTGTGCGGTGTCATGACTAGTCGCGGTGCTACTGAAGCTGCTTGGAGTGTTCACCGAGGTTTGCCGCCAGGCATTGTCAGTGTTTGAAGCCGGCACGTGTGTGCCGCTGCTGGCGGCGGGTCTGTCGGGCGCGGTGCGTTACCGAGCGCCCTCGCGCAGGTGATGTGGCTGGGTTACCCGGGCACCAGCGGCGCCTCCTACATGGACTACATCGTGACGGACGCCGTGACGTCGCCGATCCATCTGGCGCACCAGTACAGCGAGAAGCTGGCCTACATGCCCGACACCTTCTTCATCGGCGACCACATGCAGATGTTCCCCCACCTCAAGGAGCGCGTCGTTATCGACAACCTGAAGGTGAGGCCCTCCGTGCGGACGTGGCGTCCCGCAGGCCTGCGACCACTCTGTTACACGCACGTATACACGCACGCTCATAATCACGCGCACAAGAACACCGGGGAAATTGGAGATAAAGGGGTCTGAACTCCTATTATGGATGTATCCCAATCTTGTATCATGTGATAATGTGTTGATGTGATCTGTGATGGGCCTGCGCCATCACCGTCGGCCTTTGTCAGAGCCGCCGCACGGCATCCCAGACGGCACCAGGCAGGCCGCCTAAGCCGTCTTGGCGACCTCTTCGGCTGGATGGGTGTCCGCCGAGCCGGCCGCCGCGCCCTGGCGGACGTCTGACGTGCGCCGCGCGCCGTCCACAGAACAGCGGCGTACAGGACAACGTGGCCATCATCAACGCCACCGACCTGTCGCCGGTGCTGGAGAACACGCAGACCAAGACGCACAAGGAGCGCGTCAGCACGAGCCACGAGGGCTCCGGCGCCACCACGGAGGTGAAGCTGACGGTCGCGCAGCTGCCCACCACCACCGGCATCGAGGCCATGATCCAGAGCGGCCAGGTAAGGCAGCTGCCGCCGGCACGGCAGCGCCGCGGGGACGGGACGGCGCCGTGGAGTGCTCCATTGTTCATGTTCCTACCTGGCTGTCTTCCGCCGTGAGCCGCTCATTGACGCGGCGGCGCCCTTTCCAGCTGCAGACCCAGGTGAACGGTCTGACGATCCAGAACGGGCTGGCGACGCCGCAGACGGAGCCGAAGGCTGCCTCCGGCGAGGAGGTGCCCAAGTCGATCCTGGTCACCACGCGCCAGCAGTACGGCCTGCCCGAGAAGGCGATCGTCTACTGCAACTTCAACCAGCTGTACAAGATCGACCCGTCCACGCTCAAGATGTGGATCTCCGTGAGTTGGGGATGGGGAGACTGCCAGGTACGGGTGGGGTGGTTCTTGGAGTGTGATGTGGACGGGAGCGAGGGGGAGGCCCACTGACAGCCCCATAAATTGGTGTTGCGAATATCGACTGTCTGCGTCGAGCTCGCCCGGCTGTTGAACCATCCACTTTGGCCTGCTCTCTCGGCAGCCCAGGGACCGGCGCTCATGTTTGCCAGTTACATTCAGTGCTCTGAGCCGCGCCTCCAGCCCGAGATCCTTGTGCCAATTGCCCGACTGTGTCATTGAAATTACGTTCGTCCCACACAAAATTTGCGAAAGTTTTTTGCTGTCCGTGATTGAGCGACACCCTTACTGCCGGTACACTTACATTCTGACGCGCCCCGTTGACACCGCAGATTGGTCGAGTGGTCAGCACTCTCGGCTCTCCCACGTGGGGGGGTCCGGGCTCGAATCCACCCAGGCCCTAGCCCCGCGGCTCGGGACCGCGACGTGACCGTGACCCCAGGCCCCAGCCCCCGGCTCGGGACCGCGACGTGACCGTCACCCCAGGCCCCAGCCCCCGGCTCGGGACCGCGACGTGACCGTCACCCCAGGCCCCAGCCCCCGGCTCGGGACCGCGACGTGACCGTGACCCCAGGCCCCAGCCCCCGGCTCGGGACCGCGACGTGACCGTCACCCCAGGCCCCAGCCCCCGGCTCGGCATCGCGACGTGACCGTGACCAGCCGCCCGCTCGCCGCCGCAGATCCTGAAGGCGGTGCCTAACTCGGTGATGTGGCTGCTGCGCTTCCCGTCTGTGGGCGAGGCCAACATCAGCGCCACGGCGCAGGCGCACGGCCTGCCGGCCGGCCGGCTGGTCTTCAGCAACGTGGCCGCCAAGGAGGAGCACGTGCGCCGCGGCCAGCTGGCCGACGTGTGCCTGGACACGCCGCTCTGCAACGGCCACACCACCGGCATGGACGTGCTGTGGGCCGGCACGCCCATGGTCACGCTCGTCGGTAGGTGACGGGTGGTGGAGGGTGACGGGCCGGGTGGGGTGGTGAAGGGAGGGTGGCGTAGAGGTGGGGCTCTGAATGGTGGGAGGCGGGTGTATGATGGGTGATGGGTGTGAGCTGTCGCTCGTAGGAGTACGTTATTTGACGGATGTTGTTTGGTTGGGCGGGGACGGTGCGGGCGTGATCGCGAAACAGCGGAACAATAGGAGAGCGTAGAAGGGGACGGTTATGCGTGCGGTGCACGCAGTGGTGTTGGCCACATGTTGCTGCGCCCAACACCGCTGTGGCACGGCGGCGGAAGTGCGGCCGTCATTGGTGCCGTCCCGCGGCTGACTGTTTTGAGGTGAGCCGCTGCCCCGCTGCCGCTCCCGACTCTGTGCGGTGTGCTCCCGACGTGCGCCGCCGCCGTGTCGCGCTGGTGCTGACGTGGCCCCGGCGACCCCTGACCCCTGACCGATGGCGGCGCGCCGCAGGTGAGACGCTGGCCTCGCGCGTGGCCGCCTCGCAGCTGACGGCGCTCGGCTGCTCGGAGCTGGTGGCCACCACGCGCAGCCAGTACGAGCAGATCGCCATCAAGCTCGGCTCCGACGCGGCATTGTGAGTGGCGCGGCGCCGCTGCCCGTCTGGCGGGGGCGGGGGTTCATAACGCGTGCTGTGGTCATGGCCACGTCCCCGCCTGTGGGCTGCAGTATCCCGCGTCAACTGGATTGTCTCGTGGCAGCTTTAGTGCACCAGGATTGTGCTGCCTCGTTCCGGTTGTTGTTTGGACCCATGGCGTCCGTATTGCTCCGTCTGCGTGTAGTTACTGCCCATTGTCGGCTGTCGTGCCCACGTCTCTGAAGTGCAGTGATGTCAGCTGTCCTGCCCCGTTCGGGCCATTGTTCCCCAACGTCAAGGTATACTCCCCGTGTATGGCGTGCGGGGCGTCCGTTGGCGGGCTAGTTCGGGCACTGGTGGTGCCGTTCCCCAACGTCAAGGCATACTCCCCGTGTATAGCGTGCTGGGCGTCCGTGGGCGGGCCAGTTCGGGCACTGGTGGTGCCGTTCCCCAACGTCAAGGCATACTCCCCGTGTATAGTGTGCTGGGCGTCCGTGGGCGGGCCAGTTCGGGCACTGGTGGTGCCGTTCCCCAACGTCAAGGCATACTCCCCGTGTAAAGTGTGCTGGGCGTCCGTGGGCGGGCCAGTTCGGGTTCTGGTGGTGCGGCCGCCTGACGCGCCGTGTCCCTCCGTCCGGCAGCCTGAAGTCGGTGCGCTCCAAGGTGTGGGAGGCGCGCATGGTGCGGCCCCTGTTCAGCTGCAGCCAGTACGCCGTCAACCTGGAGCGGCTGCTGCTCCGGCTCTGGGAGCGCTACCAGCGCGGCGAGAAGCCCGACCACGTGACCGAGTGGTGAGCGGACCTCACGAGGGACGCGAACGGCACCGAGTGTTGAGAGGGCCCGCGGGCGTGGGAGGGCGACGCCGCCGCGCGGTGGGCACGCCATGGGCGGCACGAGCGTGAGCAGCGGTGGATGCGCCCGCGGGTGGCGCAGGCGTGGCCACGCGGCAGACCGGCTCACCAGACCGGAGGACGGCGAGACGCTGACTCACGTCGCCGAGCGACGCCCGCGGTGGCTGGACCGCGGCGAACCGCCGCACTGAACTGCGGCGGGATCGCCTCCAATGGGCATACGGTCGCGTGGTCGGACGGCGCAGCGGCGCGGCTACTGGACAGACGCCGGAGCCCCCGACCGCGCCGCTGGGCGGCGGGCCGGCTCGGCAGAGGCCGGGCTGTGGGCGCCGCCCGCGTGGACGGCGTCAGACGTGAGCGGGCCGGTGTCGGCGTGCGCTGTTGTGGAGACGGCGATGCTTTGTGCGTGGTGGCGAGACTGGCCGACGGTTCTCCCTGCACCTCCGTCGCCGCCCTCTGTGCTACTGTAGCTTTAGCTTGTCCACAGTCGGCGTTTGCTGCGGCGCCAGAGCTGTTGCTGGGCGGGGGGAGGGGGAGGGCAGCGGGCGGTTGTAGATAGCCCTGTGTATGCCGCCGCCGTGTGTGTGTGTGTGTGTGGACGGCGCGCCGCGGCTGCGAGTGTGCGCGCGCGCGTACCGGCCGCTGCTCTGCGCTGTACCTGCCCCGGACTTTGCGTGTGCGTGTTTGTGTGTGTGTGTGTGTGTGAGGGAGGGGTCGGGACCTTGCCGCGAGCGATGTCCGCTGGTTTCGAGGACGGAAGGAGGATGGTTTGTCGATAGTGTGGTAGTGTAGGGCCGTTCGACATTCATGTGATACTTCCTCCTGTAGCCGAATATATTGGTGAACATTGCAGCTGGCCTTACCCGAAGTGGGAGGGGTCATGGACTGAACGACACCTACGACAAGGAATATCCTTAATTTTCATCTTGGTGTCGGGCATCAGGTATTGTTCGGCCCGATTTCTGCAGGGATTTCATTCCGCATTGTATCCCTGACGTCAGTAGTCATCGGAGCAGAGCTCCCGAAGTACCACACACCGCAGTTCCAAGGCGGTACACTTGTAACGTCTGTGCCTGCTGGTAAATGTGACGCATGGGGGCCGGACTCGCCCCACGGACCGTACCGGCTCGTCCCCAGCGGCACCGGGCGAGGGTGCCGGTCCAGCTTACCTGAGAACCACTGGACCGAGACCCGAAACTAGAACAGCAACACTGTCGCCAGGTACTGCCGAGCGTGGGCTGTCGGCTTCCTCCGCACCATTTATGAGTGTAACTCACCAGCGATTGGACACGGCGTGTGCGACGAGTACTGCTTCAAGTTTGCTTTCCTTTCAGCTCTAGCACGGGCGGCAGCTACCGCCGAATTATAAAAAAGTATGTTATAGACGCATGCTCGCGATTGAGCACAATGGGTGATATGAACGGTAACACGCGGCTACAAAGGAAGACAGCACTTCCGAGTGATTACGTTCATTCTTGGTTGGAGGCTACCAGAGTGGTGATGAATGAGCGCCCCAACTAAAATTAAATACTTACTTATCAATCGCATTCATCGAGCACGGCAATGTAATCAATCACATTCATCGAGCTCTAACTGCCGTTTTACCTAGCTGAGCTTGATGCCTTTGGTGACGATATTCTGGTCGCTTACCTTTAGCTTAACCCCATTTTACCCCCGCCCCTACTTCTTATACCATCCATCGCCCTTGCCATCCACGTTCTCTTTTCTCTGAACACCTACGCCATGAGCGGGGCATTAATAACTATCGAAGTGGCGCCACCCTCGTCAAACAGAAGACCCCCGCAGTAAACAGAGGAGACTAGAAACCATACAGACTAGAGTCGCTTTCCGTTACTTTCTAACGACAGAATTAAATCCAAATATGAATTGTGCAGGCTGGTATATGGTGTTCGCTGACGTGCACATTGCAATGGTGTGCGATACATTCAGTCGTGATAAATCCCTGCGGGTCGATCACTACATCAAGGCATCGATTCTTCCAATGGAGGTGGCTCGTAAAACTGGCCTCGTGAATGTGGACATTCAAACTGGATGTCTCGTAAGATATGTAAAATACCACCCAATGCTACCCATTCAACCTGTCTTAAGAGGAATGTCATATGCTTTCAAACAATCTAAATCGGCTTTGACTCAGATTCTTCCCCGAAGCTTCACACCCTCACTGATATTTTCCGCGCGGAAGTGCGTCGAAGACCTGTGAAGTTCATGAATCTTATCTCGGTGAGGTTAGCTACTAATACCTATACCAAAGCATGCAGGACGAACTAGAACGCGCTCAGTTCGAGGAGGTTTACGTTTGGGTGGACGACATTCCACTGTCCCGACCACGACGCAACATTCATAGGGATTTCTCGGACGGGGTCATGTTTGCTGAAGTGGTGCAGTACTTCGTGCCACGTCTCATCGAGCTCCACAACTACATCCCTGCCAACAGCGTCAAGCAGAAGCGACAGAATTGGGATCTGTTGTGGAGGAAGGTCCTTCCGAAGTTTTCCATCAAGACTAGCGACATCAACACGGAGTGGGTGGTGCAGGCCAAGCCAGGAGCGATCGAAAAACTCCTGTACCTGCTAAAGACGAAGCTTGACGAGTCGTCAGCGGACGGCCGTGATCTCGACGACTCCAACTCCAACTCCGTGCAACAGGCAGTCACGCCGCCCACGTCCGACCGCCAGCCATCGCCGGCGCTTAGCGACGCGTCGCCACAGCGCGCTGACGGCGAGCCGCCTCCGGGCAAGGACGGCCCGCCGGCGCCGGCGCCGACAGCGCCCCTGCCGGCCGCGCCGGAAAGCATGCGACGGGCCAGCGGGCCAGCCGCCGCCGCCGGCTCGCTGATCCCCGTGAAGCGAGCAGGGCCCGGCGGCGGGGGCGGCGTCGGAGCGGTCGCCGACGGGCCCCGGGCGCCGCGTGGCAAGCTGGCGGGCAGGACGGACCGGCACCCGGCGCCGGCGGCTGCGACGGGGTCCACACGTGCGGAGCTGAACCGGCTGCAGCAGCTGGTGATCGAGCAGACAGAGCAGATCGCAGTGCTGACGGCGCGCTGTTGCAAACTGCAGCAGCTGCTGGACCTGCGGGACTCCCAGATCCAGCAGCTGACCGCCAGCGGGCAGATGTGACGTCATGGGCCGCGTGATGTCCTGATGCCTCATGTAACTTTACAGGTCACGTAACGCTGCACGCGGCAGGTGTGCTATGGGGCTCCGGTACCTGCGACTGCAGCCGGCGCTCGCTGAACGCGCTCCAACAGCGGGCGTAATGTCCGGTGAACGCGGTCCAACTGTAGCCAGCATGTGCAGTAGAACTTGGTCGTCCGTTGCCGTTGGTTGGGAAGCGGATTCTGGTTTGAACTGAATATCACAGTGCTGTTATGAAAGTGTCTTTTGTCGCGTTTAGTGACCATGGACGGGCAAGATGTGCGCAGTGGATCAAAAGGGCTGTCGTTATTTGATGAGAAAATGAAGGACCGCCGTTGAATTCAGGGCATTACTTATCGCAAAAAATTGTACCGTTTCGTGTAAATTATGAGAAACCAAATACGCGAGTCTACAGAGGAATACCGTCACATGCTGAAAGTCAACGGATTTCAAGTCATTTCATGTCGTGCAACGTGCTCGGAATAAAGGTGACGTGTTAATTTGTACACCGTGTAGAAAGTTTGTTGCTCTAAAACTACGGATGCTCTTCATGGGACCCATTTTAATCAAACGGCATGGTACAATGCCTCACCGCTCTGGTTATTAGTCGGGATCAGATCGGTAGCATCTTGGTGGACGTGGGGGGGGGGGGGGGCATGCACAGCACGGACGGAGTGGGGACCGGGCTTCAGACTTATGATTTAAGCGACTGTGCAGCAGGTGTCCACCTGAACATAGGGCACAAAACTTTCGACGCAGGTAGTTTGACCCAGTCGGACCACTGTTAAGACTGGCATTGGTTGTGACCAGAAATCACTCAGATGTGAAGGCTTCGGAGCATTTCTCGAACAAAAGGAATTCTGTTCATCGCTTTTCTTAAGAGCTGAGTTGTTGCGCCGAAAACATCCTATCTTTCCGGCTACGGCTTGAACGACGATATCAAACGGTTATTGGAGGACCTCATGAGTTCTCCGGAATTTCCAATACGTTACTGGGATTGCAATACGATACTGGGATTACAATACTCCCAGCAGATTGCAAAGCCCACACAAGTAATAAATGTCTGGCACCTTTGTTTAGCCGATGTCACCTAGTGCACTGAAAGTCGGTTATTTGCTCAGCATCAACACTCATCATGTCAAAAATCGGGACCTTAATGCCTCCTGTACATATCTCAGCATTCCCAAGAGTTTTGTGCAAGCAGCATGTTTTAAAAATTAATGGTTTGGAGACATAGTAGGGAGCTCAGATATTGAGGACCTTCATAGCCAATACCACACAATACATTTCTGGCCAATCGACAGTAAAACGTGGTGTAAACAAAAGGCATGATGTGCCCAGGCGCATGCAACATGGAGTTGAAAATTATACTTTTGAATGGCATGAATAAAAAATGGGACTTCCCTGAGAGACACTCATTGTAAATGCCTATCTCATTAAACATCCCAGTATTGCTTTGCCCCCACAGGAACTGTTGTGTAGCATCATCACGTCGCACCGGTCATCCTGGACACACGCAGAGGCAAGTAGTACGTTACAAACGAAGTGTTCACGTAGATGTCTGGCACGTGCGTGCTAATATTTTTATAGGGCTTAGGCTGGTGGCAAATTTGGCTCTTCGTGTTGAAGATATGTCATAGCGCCGTACATAAGGTCAAAATTGAGTGTTGCATGTTAATCTATCTTTGCATTTATGTTGGCCGATTTCGTAACGTTTCAAGTATGCAGCATATTGTTTGCCATTGTTTGTTTAAGTGATATTATTTTTCGTTTTCGAAATGCTCATCGTCCTGCTATGTGGCTTACACCTACTTAGTGCAGAGTCCGAATCGTTCAGTTTTTGTGGAAACATTCACTGACTCATTGTAGAGGAGGAATGTGACCTAAATACCAACCGTGTTTGTTTCGAAACGATAAAAGTGAGACAAGACGCAACGCCCCATGAAAAACACGCTCCTTACAGCGTTAGATGCATAAGATAGTACGAAAGCACTTGAATGGAGCTTGGAACGTATCAGCGATAACAGGCCTAGCAGGGAGAAGCAGCGATTTGCGTTCCGATAACATGACATTACGCCATCAGTTATGGATAAATCGTGATGGCCAACCAGAGCTATGGTACTCGTTCGGGACTAACACCAAACTCGGGAAAAGGTTAGTAAGTAAGGCCGTGAAAATGTGGTCAGAGCCCACGTGTCTCAAGTTTAGCAGGATGGCAGATGGTGAGTGTGAGAGCTCAGGAGCTCTTGATCACAGACTTCTACAGATTGATGCCTTTGTTGACAAATGCCGCTGGTCCAATGTAGGAAGCTTGCTTCAACGCAACTCCAGTAGAAGGAAATGCCAACAGATGTGCACTGACAAAGAAAACTGCTTCGAAACACAGGTCAAGGCACTGTTGGCTCGTTCACTCGGCCTGCTCCCGCCAAGCACCCGTCCCGATCGCGACAGTTTCGTTGTAATCCACCATGAGAACCTCATCTCTGGCTCAATGCCTGTCTAGCGAACCTCCAGATTTGTCGGATTGGACGTCGCTGCAGACGTGTTCCGATAGCGTGGCTGCCATGGCCGTGCCTGTGCCCTACAATTTCTGGTCAATACTTCAGCATCCGACACATCACCATGGGTACAACGGTGAATACCGGGCTGTTCAAGTGACGCGCGACAGAAGCAAGCAGTACATATTGGACTACCACGCCGACACGTGTCAGGCACAGTCTCATCTCGACCTCTACCAAGTTCACATGGCCTACGGTTGCGATAAAAGAATCGCTAAGAACTGCAAACATATCGGTAGATATCCACCGAAGTGCCTGCATTATGGATACTTGAAAAAAGACTGCACATGTGCGTGTTCAATCAATTATATTGGAGACGCATGTGAAACAGTGGCAAAAAACACCACTTCGTACTTGCAAAATGCCTGGTTCATGCACATAACAGATACCGGCAAACGCTACATTAGTGAACTCGGTATGCACGCAGGCAACGTAACGAGAGCTGCGTCTCAGGAGCAAGGTTACTACCAATTCCTGACGGTGACTGTCATGCTAGCAGTCGCTAAAAAACACGTGAACATCAATCTGAGTCACACCTTAGCTCAAAGGGTGGCAAGCAAGCTGCACGCCAAGCAGGAAAGCTTCATTGAAAACATCAAGCGAAGTGACTGCCAGCGGAGCTTGGTCATGTACTGGGGGCCGAGCAGGCGGCACCACCTGCGCACCGAGTGTTTATCGTCGATCGGCCTCAACGAACCGTCAGCCCGCGTGTTCCGCTCTCGAACGGGACCGTCGCTCGACTTGACATTCGAGTCCCGCCTGGGTCTGGTGACCGGCGACCCCCAGCTCAGCGTGGACCTGCTCCAGTTCCAGCTGGAGGTCTCTAGCTTCACAGTGCCCGGCCGGAGAGGCGCCGCCAAGCGCCTGGAACGCGCTGGGTTCGACGCCAGGCGGCGCCAGCGAGTGGTCCACTGGCACGAACCCGCTGTCCAGCAACGGCACGGCCCAGTCCGGCAACGTCACGGAACAGCCTGGCAACGTCACGGTGGCGCCCGTACGCTCCTCGCCCGTGATCGCCGGCGGCGCGGCTGGCATCCTGGCTGCGCTGCTGCTCGGCCTGCTGCTGCTGGTCGCCATCGGGCTGGCGGCGCTCTGGATCTGGTACCAGCGCTGGCGCGACGGCGACTCGTGGTACTCAGACAGCAGCGAGTCCGTGGAGAGCGCCGATGAGAGCGAGAACCGGCGCAGCAAGTGGCGCCGGCGCAAACGAGGCAGCAGCAGCAGCGACAGCTCAGACTGAGCGGGGCTCGAGGTGGCGTCGGCGATGTTTGCGGTTGTGGAGGTGCCGATAAGGCGGGTCTATGCAGTGACGTTTTCTGTTTGGTCGGTTCTTGCGACTTTCCGATGCCGCTGGCAAGCAGTTCAAAGAGATTGCTAAAGGTCTTGGAATCGCGTGCGTCGGGCCCCGTCTAGGTATGCCGCGATATGATGAGAAGGCTTCTGACAGATCAAGAGTAGTTCGGTCACGCACGACTTAAATGTTCGGCAGTGTTCAATGTGTGCCTTTTTCATGAACATCGCGTGCGGGAATGGTGTATCGTGCCAGGGACACCGGCTGCTTCGATCTACACGCTGGTCCTCCACCGCAGAATGAAGAGACGAATGCACTTTAACTGTTGATGCACTCCGCAGTGACTGCGAACGTTGCTACGAACGTTGTTAACCGCTGCCTACTGTTCAAAACGGTGTCGGCTCATCAGCATGCTGTCCAACTTGGTGACAGAGCCGCGATTTGCCACCAGCGCGTGTGTGGAGTTGCGTTCGGCGAATACTCGGAAACAGTTTGCTGCTGTTCTCCTTGGAACCTTCGTGGGCCAAAACATAATAAAACGCCGTCCAGCCGAGCCGTGTTTACTTCGCCTTAGCCATGGTCAGTACCTGACAGTGGCACTGCCACTGTCACCTACCTTGCTGGCTTGGCGGTCTTATGTTAATGGAAATGGCATATATTGGTGTTTCGATAAGCGTCCGATATAACTTCAACTTAAGTCACATATTACAGACTTACACAGAGGACGGGGTTTCGGTAACGTAGGCGCACGCTTTGAATGCATCGTTTACCCCCCCCCCCCCCTCCCACGCGATGTTTGCCGTTATGCTCGCTTAAAAACGGACGAGTAGCAAATTCATTGAAAACGATGTATTTCCCCAAAATCAGCGTACAATCAAAAGCATCCACGGCGACGCGCAGAGATGTGAGCCATGCTTGACATGATCAGTTATGATCTGCTAGTGTCTGGTTTGGTTTGAATTAGAGCCATTTAGGCCAGTCGTGATCAGTTCAGGGCTACGGGTCGAAGGAAAGCGGGTAGTGTTAGAGCACGATTACATGCATCTGCGAGTCCTCCGCCGAGATTTAGACCCCTCTCCGGGGTATGTGCGGGCGCTTGATCGGGGTCACCGCCAGGGGGCACCGATGGGTATCTGGGGGATGATACTGGATGGGTATCATCCATAGCTGGTGCATGCGACTTGCCACGTATAAACTGGTCGCTGCTGGGACGCAAGACAAAGCATGAATACGGAAAGGAAAGCGGATACTGACGCCTGTAGTGTGACATGCAGTTCAAGCACTGTCTAACCCGCGTTGATTGGTTACCTAGTACGCAAAGGTACGCATGAACGACACCACTCACCTGACTTGTCCGAAACGCAAGTCTGTCCGCCCCGGCGCTCGTCCAATTTGTTCCTCATCTCAGCCGCGGGTGTCCAACTACCGTGTGTTGCGTCTGTGCAGGACCGGGGAAGTACCAAATCGGTGAAGGAAGCGGCCAGCGTCAGAAAAGCCGTCGGGTGCTCTGCGCAGGTGGGCCACAATCAGCTGATAGTGGGCGGTGGCCGCGCCCCCGCAGTTAGAAGGCGCCAAGTTCATCACCTCCTGGACGCACTGCGCCATGAAAGTGTGCCTCTCCTCTTTCGGTATCCTGTCCACGAATGGATTTACAGGCGTCAGTGCCGCTTCGAGGTCTTCGGTTGTCGAAAATTCGAACGAGCACCACGGAGCGGTGACCCGACAGGCTGAAAGTCCTGCCTTCGCCGCTAGATGGCAGAAGCGTTGGGCCGGGTTCGCCTCTTGCTGGTAAGGCGACACAAAACTCCGCCAGTCACGCATAAAGACTTGCCACCGTGGATATTCTGACATTTTTTCATACATTTCATAAATTTTGTTGTTCGCTAAGAAGATCAGTATTGCGTGACCATCGGTATTCAGCAGATCGCGAATATTTTTCAGCGCCAACCTGTAATGAAAGCAGGAAAACAATCATTAGCGACAAAAAGACAGCGGGCAACTACCACGTTTGCAACGTTGACGTCTGCAAGTATCACGTTGGCTTCAATTTATACCAAAAACGGATTACTAGAAGTACAACGCTTACATGCTGAAGACAAGCATAACAAGACAGCGTCCAAAGGGGTACGTAACAGTTCGTAGGTATTTGTATGATTTACAGTAATTGAAAGTGAAAGTCACAGAAAGGGGAATGATTCCAAGCATGACTTTGCCATGTCATGTTCATTTTAAACCTGATTTGTCCAGAACTGGTATTGGGAAATGTTTCTCGCTTCATGGCGGGGCTTCAATTAGAAGCCGAACAAGCAATGTAGCGTGATTATAAACTATGAACAATGCACAAAATATCCACCACCTCTCGAATACAACATGCAATTCCCCACACGTGATATCGATACAGCGTCTATGCAGCATGCACACATTTGATACATCAGTACACATATACCTGAGTACATCTATCGAACAGCTAAATCCGCCAGTTCCAGAGGGCGATTGGATAGGGCGGAAGGCGGTGATTTATCTCACGCATGCCTTCTATACACTGACTAAAACTTTTCCTGGAATACTAAATGCTTCCACAATCACAAAGCAGCTACCAAAGTCAACGCCACACCAGCTTGGCTTAGAATGTCTTTGCGTTATATAAAAGAACCAGCGCGTTTAAAGCTGAACCAAGTAGATGCAGTTTAGTTCTGCGTGGAGCCACCACGCACACCTTCTGAGCCCTCAACTTTTCATGACCACGGCATACCTCTGGTCCTGCACCCAGTGCAGGCAGAATAAGGAGAAGATGCGGTCGAAGGTGGTGCCGATGACCTTGGCGACCGTTGGCGAGGAGATGTCCGCACGCTGGAACTGGATTCTGTCCGTGCCGTACGTGCGGCGGGCGAAATCAACCATCGCCTGCGACGTGTCGACGCCCAGCACTGTCCCGTAACTGCGGCAGCAGCGGCCAGCACTCTCAAGTGTATTGCAGGCCGAGGTCAGGCGTCGCCAGACGAATTAACCATGTTTGGTGCGGACTTGCTATCCAACCGCGCACCAGACAAAAGGGGCCTTCGCGCTCTGTCAGTCATCGGTGCGGCATACGGCATACATACAAGGAGCGGATAACACCAGCTGGATCTGCAATGGGTAAGTACAGTGGTAGCGGTAGCGTCGGCAGCAGCAGCCCGGCAGGCCTAACCTGGGCAGCGTACGGCAGCAGCAGCCCGGTGAGCACGTCGCCGCTGCCGCAGCCGACGTCCAGCAGGCGCAGCTCCGGCGACCAGTCGAGTCGCGCCAGCAGCGGCGGCAGTAGCCGGCTGGCGTCCCGTCGCTGCAGCTGGTTACCGCTCACGTACTGCGCCGGGCTCTGCATTCGGGCGGCAGCTGGCGTAGGGCTGGAGGCGCTGCCGGGCTGGGCTGGAGCTGGAGCAGGGCTGGAGCTGCACTAGAGCTGGACTGGAGCTGGACTGGAGCTGGAGCTGGAGCTAGAGCCGGGCTGGAGCTGGGATAGGGCTTGAGATGCACCCGGGCTGGAGCCGGACTGAAGCCGAACTGGCGCTGGATCTAGAGCTGGGCTGGAGCTGGAGCTGGAGCTGGACTGGAGCTGGACTGGAGCTGGAGCTGGAACTGGAACTGGAGCTAGAGCCGGGCTGGAGCTGGGATAGGGCTTGAGATGCAACCGGGCTGGAGCCGGACTGGAGCTGGATCACGAGCTGGGCTGGAGCTGGGATGGAGTTGGGCTGGAGTTGGAGTTAGAGCTGGGCTGGATCTGGGCGGGAGCTGGAGCCGGGCGGCAGCTGGGATGGGGCTGGAGATGCGCCCGGGCTGGAGCTGGATCGAAGGTTGGCTGCAGCTGGGATGGAGCTGAGTCGAAACCAGCACGAAACCAGCGAAACCAGGAGCACAGTTTGCACTTGACTGGGGCGGAGCTGAAAGCTCGGCACAGCGACCGATTTGGGTCTGGTAGGTGCCAGGGCCCCGTGAGCTGAACTTATATTAAGCGTCGGCGCCAATAGCGCAGCCAGGTCGCCACCAGCGGTGAGGGATCAGACCTCGTGTGCGACCAGCTGGGGCTATGCACGCCTTCAGGCTGTGTACAACAAAGATCGACGCACAATCCGGAGGACAGATGAAACTCGTGGCATCTGCACTGGTCATAAAAAGACCAGCGCATGTGGCGACTGCTGCGCACGGAACTGCGACACATTCGTGTGTGAGGGTGTGGGGGTGGGCGAAGGACCCGCTTTGTCTGGGCTTCAATGCGGTCGGCCACTGTGCCGTGTCAGACGCCGTGTTGTACTGTGACCCGCTAGGGGTGGGCGCCAGAAATGTCGGCCTCGTATTGTGCTCTCGCCCTGTAAAGAACAGTAGAGCGGCTATTTTTTGCACGAGACTAAAGAGGTCCTCGTGCCTCTTTTAGTCACTGGTGCCTGTGCGGCCTGTGCGTGGAATGGCATGTGACCCGGTATAATCGTTGATATTGCCAGTGGCGGTGTAGATGAAAGGATCGAGCTTCAACTTTTCAGGACATCCGATGCTTCTGCAATCGGGTGAGGTGGTAGGCTGGCAAAGTGACACAAGCTGCTGGCAAATTGTATTTAGCCACTCGGAACGGTTAATTCACGTGACATCAGCTGGCTGAGCAGCTTTTTCGTTACGATATAAACAGGCGAATGGCAGATGACAAAGCTATGTCAACAGGCAAAAAACACATCCATCAGCTGTATATGGTTAAAGCACAGTCGTCTGTGGTACTTGTTGCTGCACAGCGTGGGAAAAATCTCCTGAACGTGTGGCCGGAAAAGATAAGCACGAAGGCTCGTGTGAACTTGACGCGAAGACCAAACTTGTGGGCACATCTAGGGACCACAAAAGCAATGGATCAGGCACGCACGCACGTCACAGAAACTTGATACGCGTAGATGGCGATATCAGGGAGTCCAATGAGCAGCTCTAAGCCAACAACCAAACATAAACTGCAACTGTCGCGTGTCCTTGTAGTGATTGCAAGGCGTTGGGTCTAAAAACAGCTTTGGACTTCCATTTCTTTCTGAGGCATTCGCAAATTGTTATCTCAAAGACAGCGCGGTGGGCCAGCACATACAGAGCCGCTGATACACTGCTACTTTACTCATGTTTGCTTAGCTGACAGCACCGTAACACCATGGTAGAACGACGACAAAAACAGACAAAACCAAAGAAAAGGCCTGAAAACTGACGCAATTACTGTGCACCTACAGTCTTTTCCCAGGCGACAGTCTGATGCTACAGTCTTCTCCCGGCGACGCGATCGGGAGCCGAAACGTGGCCGGCATATTGTAGCGTGCACACCAAACAGCTGGCATGGCCGTCCTCAGAGTTCAGATTGTACAAAGGGCCGGGCACGAGCTGGAGGTCATGTGACCGCGCGTGGCAGACATGGGAGGTTCGCGTCCCAAACATTGCTTTTATGAAATTTGGCAATGACGATCAGCTGGTAACTGGTCGAGAGTCAGGCTGGTACGGTGCGGCCGCCCTGACGACATACACGGACGCTATGCTAAAGCTTTGGGCAAAAACCTTCTGTTGGACTGCAGTTGCCCTACTGGGCGCAGTGTGAAAGCCGCCACGACAATTAACGGCGAAATAGCTGCATGCCCTGGCCGGTGATCTTGGTCCAACGGATATCTCTTGCGCGAAACATTTTAAAGTGTTACGCATCTCCACAGCGCGGTATTCCCATATCCGTCTGATTTGCCCGGCCAGATGCAAACTGACCGTCATTCTGTACGTGCATACATACATATATACATGCATACGTGCATATACATACATATACGTATATATATATATATATATATATATATATATATATATATTAGAAAACTTGACCACAAGCTTTCACGCATAAGATGTCATCTTTAAGTAGGCAAGGTGTCTTCAAAGATGGACTGGGTGCTATCAGACTGCAGTAATGTCCCAATCCTTATAGTCTAAACCTAATTTTCGTTCGTTTAACCGAGTAAGGTATGTTTTTGCCAGAGTTGCAGCATGCAGAACCAGTACCAGAATGAATGAGCTCTCATGAGCTTTTTCCTTTTTTGCATAACATCCAGATTATTGTCCAGGGTTATTTTGTCTGAACAATTGCAACACTGTCTTAGCAACTACTATACACAATAAAGACGTTGAAGCCGAATGCAAATGTGAGAACAATGCGAAATTCTCCATGGCTGTCTTCGTACCACGGACGCTATGCGCACACACTGTACAGCCTGTGATGACAGCACGTGACCGCGACAGCAATCGCCGTCAACAGGCACGGCTCGTAAGCTGACACGGTTGTGGACGGCCTGGCTGCCGATCCAGTGATAACGAGCTATTGTGCCACGCGGCTGGGCCACACACACGGCCTGGCACCATTGGCGTGGCGGCTGGGCGCGTAGGGGCAGGTGTGAAGAGGGGCGCGCGGGGTCGGACCCGAAGACGGGCGGGCAGTGTCAGCTGATTTCTTCTGCTCTTCTCCGGCGGCCCGCTGACTGAGTCACCTGCGGCAGGCAGCGGGTCTGCTGTGAAGAGGCCGGCTGGACTGAGTCACCTGCGGCAGGCAGCGGGTCTGCTGTGAAGAGGCCGGCTGGACTGAGTCACCTGCGGCAGGCAGCGGGTCTGCTGTGAAGAGGTCGGCTGGACTGAGTCACCTGCGGCAGGCAGCGGGTCTGCTGTGAAGAGGTCGGCTGGACTGAGTCACCTGCGGCAGGCAGCGGGTCTGCTGTGAAGAGGTCGGCTGGACTGAGTCACCTGCGGCCGGCAGCGGGTCTGCTGTGAAGAGGTCGGCTGGACTGCGTCATCTGCGGCCGGCAGCGGGTCTGCTGTGAAGAGGTCGGCTGGACTGAGTCACCTGCGGCGGCAGCGGGTCTGCTGTGAAGAGGCCGGCTGGACTGCGTCACCTGCGGCAGGCAGCGGGTCTGCTGTGAAGAGGTCGGCTGGACTGCGTGGCCTTCCAGGGACGGCAAGATCCGCTGTGAGGGGGCTCGGAGGACTCCGCGACCTCCGGGGAACGACCGGGCCCTTCCCGCCGTGAGGGACCCCTGTGACCTTCAGGGAGCTGCAGGACCAGCTGTGGGAGACTGCCGGCCTCTGCGACCTTCGAGGGTCGGCAGGGCTCGCTGCGAGGGGGCGCATAAGACCACCGCCTGGCAGACACCCGACCTCGTGACACAGGTGGGTTCGTCCGGGCACGTCGCATGTCCATTAGTTACCCATGCACGACTCACCGTTTGTTGCCTGCGCCTCTTGCGACTATGCATCTGTAATGCATATTCATTGGCATTTCTGATCACTTGAGGGTGTGAGGCTGCAATCCAGGACTGGAGTATTGTCCCCTTTGTAAAGGCCATGACAACCATGGCCCACCAAATGGTCCTGCAAACCGCGGAATCGGTGAAGGATTGAAAAGCAAACAGTACGTGCACAGTGCAGGTCTGATTCAACGTTCGGAACCAAATAGTGTGTTGCAAGCGTAAACAGAACACTATTCACTTCATATCCTAAGCTGGAAAATGGTCGCTGACTGCTTAAAAGTCCACGTCGTGGTGTCGTTAGCCTGGATTGTCAAACCCCGATATGACGTCATGTTTTAGGTAGTGGCTGAATCGCATGCCATGACGTCATGTTTTAGATAGTGGCTGAGTCGCATGTCATCGTGATCTGGCAATGTTTCGAAATGTAACGACATTACAAAAAGTTGCTGTTTGGTCATTTATTTGCACGCTTACAATCCATGCGGCAGGAGAAACTTCCTGAAAAGTTATCACAGCTGCTGTGGCTGTCTTGCTGCTTATTCCATCCAAAAAGGGAATACCAAACACAAGGATGCGTTTTTTTATTCTTACATCTTCAAGAATAATTACCAAAGTCATGCTTCCAGCAATGCAGCTTTTCCCAAGTTACGAGCTTTGATATGACTAAATCTCGCCGCGAACACATGTCTAGGTTTGTTGCTGTTCTTGCATATGAAACTTTCAACTAGCACCAATTTGTCGATGAAAAAAATAGTGACATGCTCACAGACGATTGCAGCCAACCTTTCAGTCATCCGAAGATATTTACGGTCTGTTCCATGTGCGGGTACCGCGAAGCATGACTAAACCAACACAAATCCTATAGCCATCAAAGTGTTTCACAGCATATGTTCTACACTGTGCACCCGAACGCGACTTAGCAACCCTGAATTTTTTACCCCATTAGAGCACTTTACGACGTAGGTCAAAGGTAGACAAATTGCGCACTCCAAAAGCTACCCTGCTCTGCGTTTGGGGTAAAAAATAGCTGTTTTGGGGAAACGAAACGATTACATCAGGATGTGCCGAAACACGATTTGCCAATTCGTGACGCGATCGCTTGAGAACCAGTCATACCCAGAAATGAAATCCACATCTCCATTTCGAATTGTAGAATTTCCAAATTGCGAGAGGACAGTTGCCGATCTTCCAAGAGGCGTTGGAAGGTCGGCAGCCAGGATTGTTGTTGTTGATGGAAGTTTTACGACGCGCCGGCTACTGTGGTAATTTGGCGCAAAATTTTGCATTTTGCAGCAAGGAGGCATTAGTAAAACGACGAGAGCAAGCAGACATCCGTTATATTGTCAAAATTCGACTCATCAAGCTGTGCGTAAAGGTGGCGAGGTGGCTGTTTGAGAACGACCATAGCCCAAATATGACGTCACATCGTGATCTTACAATGCTGGGCTTGCCACATTGCGATGTGGTCGTTTTAAACGGTCACTGGACCTTTCGGGATCAGAGCTAATATAAATACCATTTACGAGGTATGCAAGCTAAGAAGAATCATGATGCCGGGCGTCTATGTAGCAGCAAATGTCCCCCCCCCCCCTAGTATGGTGCTGTTACACCACGTTTTCTCGTTTAAGTCGGAAAAGGCCTCAGAGTTTTTCTTCATAAGTGCTAGATACCAATCCAGCAAGCCGAGTCTGAGATAGAATCACAATCTTGGGTGTCTTAGCCCGAGTCGAATCCGCCATTTGAACACGACGTGACTACGAGTCTGACCCTATGACTCCGTGTCAATTTTCTCTTTTTCACAGTTTTTCAATCCGAATCTGAATCAGAGTTGTTAGAGATTGAGTCACCAAGTATGAAATGTATGCCTGCAGGTTACTTTGTGGGATATTATATATATATATATATATATATATATATATATATATATATATATATATATATATATATATATAATATCGATTCATACATAAGGGAGATGTGGCCAAAAAAGCTCAAATCCATGTATGCGCAATGGGAAGTGACCACCTGAAAAATGCCCCATCTGCTCAGACGTTGCATCTTTACACCTTCTCATCAATGTGCCGTCTCAATGCATATATTGATGACATCTGCCGTTGCCAGCGTGACCCTCCTATCGCTCAGCTGCCTGTTGCCGCCCGCGGTGAGACGGACCGAAACATCTGCAGCTCGCCATTAAAAAACCCGCCACCTCGGCGGGTGTTGCCACAACTGAACTAACCGAGAACTCCTGCAGTCGACGGCGCCGCAGCTAGTCCGCTCGGGACGGCTCTGCTGACGGCAGTGCCAGCAGACCGCGGGTCGCGCGCCCCCTGCAGAATGCTGCGCGGCTGCCTTCCCAGTCCGCTGGCCCTGCCGTCGTCGGCTGTCAGCTGGATTCGACAGCGCGTGGTCGGCGTGCGACTGCTCACCGACGCAGAAGTGGAGCCCAGTCGCAGAGAATTGCGTGAGCCGGTGCAAATACCGTACAGAGCTGGAAGGGAGTGTTCCACATCTGTATGGGATTTTGAACTGAATTCGTCATTGTGGAGATCAGTTGGTGAAGTTCACAGCCCTGCCCTTCTTAAGGCGTAGCTTATCTTGATTCTAAGTTACGCGCCTACGGAGATGTGCAGGCTATCTCGTGCAGACTTTTTCAAGGTCACCCGGGCGTCTATGACGTCATGATAATGTTATTTAAATTTTGTCATCGCATTGGTCATGCAGCGATCCAGGTCAATACAAGTATGATTGCCAAGTCGTTCAAATCAGGCGTTTGTGACCACGATTTCTAGACATAATGGCCATCAATTAGCTCTCCTCAAATATTGCGCAAGGTACGAAACAAGGGCGTGTTAAGCAGTGTATTTACTAAACAGAGAAATGGTGTTGCCCAGAACAGTTTTTCACTTAAAAGTATACTGATAGTTAAAGATAGACTTATTTCGTTAGATCTGTGCCTGCTTCAGTATCTTCAAATGTGATACATTCTCTGCATTGTTTTGTGCTTTGCTCCCTGGAAGCGAATTGCGTGAATTCATTGCCAAAGTGTATACCAAAGGATTGCACATGCATGTACAATCCGTATGTGCTCCCCCCAAAAATCGTGAATCTTTTCTGGTGTCCTCCCACTACATGCAAATCTGCTTGTATGTCGAGGAGTTTTTATGCTAACAATAGCATATTGTTACGAACAATAACCGAACTTCATTGTGATGCCAGGAGGTATGCTATCTAGTAGATATTAATTTCATCGTAAAATTTCCGAGTTTGGACTGCCATAACTCTGGAAAAGAAGCTTTCCCGCCATTAGAAAGAGCTCGCTACCTCGGCGAGTGTTGCCACAATTGAACTAACCGAGGACTTCTGCCGTCGGCAGCGCCGCGGTCGGTCTACGCCGTGACGGCTCGGCAGCCGGCACCGCTAATGTTGCCGGCAGAAAGTTTGGAGAGAAATGGAGAAAGTTATTCTTGCTTATATAAGTTACAGTTGCGTTTATGACATGCGGTACCTACTCGTAGATCGTTGCTGCAAAATTTGTAAATTGATAACATCACATATTTTCCTTGAGTCGTAAGCGTGACACATATGAACAGAAAATGTGCCAAGACATCTACCCCCATGTTCCTGGTATTACCATTGACATTTTACACGCATACCACCAAAACGTGACCAGCAGTGATGTTATAAACTGTGTTATAACTCACTAAAGTCACACATCAGAACGGTCTAGCCAAAGAACCGTTGACAGCACCATTGCCGTAAGCAGCCGTGATCCATGCCTGACAGCCTGACATGCCTCCCAAAAACTGGCTGGAGTTGCCTCGGGGCCGTGTGGGGACTCACATTTAGGGATTTCGTGTCAAATTTATGTTTAGAAAAGCCTCGAAGCTTTGCAGCGCTAGATCTGCAAAACTAGAACTGCTAGAACACAGCTGCAAACATTTGCTGGAAGGGGGGGGGGGGCAATGTGATTCCGTTTGCAGATTAGTCACAATCGTTGTCAGCTATGCCTTTGCCAGTAGGTAGCACATGATGCTGCTCTCAATGGATAAGGATTCCTTAGCTCAGTAGGATTCCTTAGCCGGACCCGACGATTGCGGAGTCCTAGCGCGTGTGTAGTCCCCTGGGGTAGACCACGTGATCGCGCTTTGACAGGTCACAACTTCCTCCCGCAGACATCACCAGCGGCTACCTGCCGTCCGGCTCCTATTTGCTCTGCCTGCAGGCGCTCGTCCTGCCCACCAACGAGCTCTTCAACACCTGGAGCTCGCTGCTAGCCACGCTCGTCCACACCTGGCGGCTGTGGTTGTCCACAGCGGACGTGCCCGCCGCGGCCTACGTCCAGCCGTACCAGCTGTGCCTGCTGGCGGCGGCCGTGTCGGCGCTGACCTCTGCTCTAGCACATGGCCTGTACCCCGCCTCTCGACGAGCCAATCACCTCTTCTTCTGCCTCGACTACGTCGGCCTCGGCCTGTACGGGCTGGCCGTGACGTTAGCGTACCAGGCGTACGGCAGTAGCGCACCGTGGTCGCCGTTCCTGCCGGGCACAGCTGTGCTGGCTGTGCTCGGCAGCGCCGCCGCCTGCGCCTCGCGACTCACGTGCCGCAGGCGCCACGCTCCGCTGCTGCGCGCGCTCAGCCTGACCGCGCCGTACCTCAGCTCGCACGCGCTGCTGCTGCGAACCGCGCGCACGCCGCTGCACGCCGCCGAGGTGGTGTGCTCGGTCGTCGCGGCGGCGGCGTACGTCACACGCTGGCCAGAGTGTCGCTGGCCCGGTCGGCACGACGTGTTGGGCCACTCGCACGGCTGGTTTCACGTGTTCGGCCAGCTGGCCGTCGTCTGTCAGGTGGCCGCGGCACAAGCCGAGATGGCACTGTCCGCCGGCGAGCCACCCGCGCAGCTGCGCTGGTGGGTCCAGACCGGCTTCGGTTGGACGGCGGCGCTGATGCTGGCGGTGGCCGTAGGCTGCGCCCTGTTCTGTGCGGCGAACGATGGCGGCGTTGGTGACGCCGGCGGGGACAGCGCCTCCGGCTCGCCTCCAGCCAGGCTGAGCCACGCGTGCCCGCGTGGCGGGATGACGGCAGACGGCCGGTCAACGGCGCCTCAGCATCGAGCCCGTTTCGCACGGCGGACGGCTACTTCATTGGACGCGGCCCTCGGCTCACAAGCGTTTCTTAATGATCGGGATGGCGTGAGAAAAGCTGGCAGTCATATTTTAAAGGGTTGAATTATACTAGTACCTGGTCCCTATTCTTAGTGCAGACCATGCCGTGCAGAATATACTTCAGTTGGTGAAACTAGCGGGAAGTGAGTTATTTTTGATAGATCGGAAAATATATTTTCCGTGACCATAATTGCCTAGTTGGTAAGAACTGACGTTTGTGGCAAAGGGTGAAATGAGAAAAACATTGGGACCGGCAAACCGCGAATCATTTGCCCTCAGTATCATCAGGTTTATTGTCCCAGCCCTTGCGGGTCCTGTGACCTCCTTATCTTGTGCGTGATGAGCTATTTGCCAGGCTTTGTGAACTTTCTAGCTTGTGCGTGATGATATTTTGCTGAGAGTGATCGTCAGTAGCAAATCTCCATGGCCGTTTGATGATGGGTGCTTATGTGGGACGTGTGTGTACTCGTTCTTGGAAAAGGGGAAAAGAAATTAAATGAAATAGTGTGATAACATTAAGAGCCATCAGTTACCACTGTCTGTTTGTGATGTACCACGCAGGAATGAAATGCATGAAATGCGTGGTTTGCGTGACAACTGAAAATATTAACATCTTGGCGTGGTTCTTTTGGAAGCCTGGTTGTCACATGTTGTCAGTGATGAAAAGTAGTCATTTGTATCACGAGACACATTTCAGGCGTTGGACCAGTAGTCAAACCGGTCGATAGCACCGCAGTGGGAATGTAACGTAAGAGTGGTCTGTGAGCATTCGGTATCTTGACAATAACATGCAACTTCCACGTTCACGTCAAGCCAGTCATAATAGACTTTCGTCCATTAACCTAGCGCTGAAAAGAACGCAAACGCCACTCCCACCTCCAAAGCTGTGCGGCCAACAGAGGAGAAGTAGGACGTATTCGGCGCGCGTGCACATCGAGTTCGCCGCGGATGGCGGTCGAAGTTCGCGGCCAGACGCGCTTGGTGCGCGCTGCGCCATCATATTGCCAAATATCATTTGAAAAGATAGCAAATGTGAGTGATTTAAGCACAAAACCTTAAGATAAGCGTCGACGGGATGAATGTCGAAATGGAAAAAGATCAAATAGAAGCTATTCACAAAGGGAAATCTCGGTGCCGAAAATGCTGGCGTGACAAAATATCGACAGGGGCAGAGATTGAAACAAAAAATGGCGTAATGGGTAAATACCGACAGGGTATGTTTATAAAGAATGCATTGTAAAAATTTCAACGATGTGGCTTCGAGGAGAATTTTAACTTTCTTGGTGCTCTTATGATCGATAAGGCTTAATAACAAAGCGAAAAACGATGTTGCCACGAAATACTGCACTTGTACCGCTTGAACTGCGTTGCGTATTGTACAACGTCGCCCTAAGCACCGTGCGTTTTGTATTTTGGGGACGTAGCGTGTCAGCAGATGTGCACATGTGCTATATAGTGATCAATAACTATATCTGAATCGCTTTTGCTCCAGGGTATGCAACATCGCCAGTCACAGAGCTGTCGAATACCGTTTCTCTAGGTTGAGATAGAATCAGCACTTTTCTAGCCGATTCTTTTTTATTAAGTTGACATGATATGGCCTTGACTCTCTAGCCTCTTTGCTATATTGGTTCAAAACAGCAACATTTTATCGGAACGTGAGATTTCAACGACAGACAAAAATCCCCCTGGAAAGAAAGCAAACCAAGATATTGACTTGAATGCTTCATTTTTCAAGATGCACTTGCCTATCCTCAATGTACACATTCCCCATGGCGCAGCAAGATCGCAAATTGCGTTGTTTTAGTAGTCCTCAAAGACCTGCGCAAGACTGGTATTCGCCACGCATGGTAAGCCATCGCGGCGGGTAGATTACTGCCCTTTCAAAGGCATTTTCAACCTAGTGAACAGAACAAATCAGAATGAGAGTTGCGTGTTTTAGTCTGTGAGGTGGGAATCTCGGCCCATCGCCTCGTCTCCGAGCTCCACTTCTCAGTCTCCTCGGTTTCACCCGCTACCTGTGGGCGCTTATTGCCATGCGGTATTCCTGATCACTGTTGATGCATTTGCCGGCTCCGTCTTAGTGGTAGGACAAGATGCTGGCCAAAAGCCCTCGGGGGATGCATTGTTAGTGTGATAAAACTTAAACGAAATCATGTGAAAGACCACGTGCGAAGTATAATGAACATTTTGCATTTGAATCTGATGGATCAGTATTTCGCCAGTCGTTTTATCGTTTCAAATATCGTAAAAAGTCTCTTCATCGTTTCATAGAGTAGACAGCCCGACAGTTTCTTACCGCACGTTTGGTCTACAGAGGGTTAAAAAAGCAGAAGATTTCGGTGAAGACAGAAAAGACCAAGACTGGGATAGATCATGACCGGGCAACAAAGCAAAAGGGCTTGACGGATACATCGTGAAGACGGGTAAAGGCAGAAGACCTGAGTACGCAGCGGGATCAGACCCAAGCTCGGATTTTGACCGGACTAGACCAAACCGGACCGGCTCAAATTGGACTGGGCTGCGCTGCATGGGGCAGGGAAAATCATCAGGGAAAATATGGAACTGGAAAACAGAGTATGGCGCAAATACGACCAGACCGGACGGGACTGGGCTCCTTTGGGCCTGACCGGATGGCGCCGGGTGGGAAAGGGCGGGACAGGGCAGGACCGGACCGAGAAAAAACGGAAGAAAAATGTTTCAAACCGATGACACCTGATAAAGAGTCTATCAAACCTATGATGCCTGAAAACATACAACAACAAAAATACTAGACAACACGGCAAAGGTCGGAGTTGGAGCTGAATAAGACAATCTGACCAAATGGGACTGGAGAAAGCTTGAACAGCTTAACTTCAGAACGGATAAAAGAGGGGCCCGGCCAGGTCCGGCCGAAACGAAATGACCGAAAGCACATGTCCGCACATGACCGAACCCGGGTGACTGAACCGAAACCGAATTTTTCTCTACGTGTGGGATGCTGAGACCATTTCACAATGGAAAAGCATTCATCGCCACCCCGGGTGCTACTTACTTATAGCTTGCAGGGTGCTTGGCGATTTTGGAATACAACTACTTACATCAGTGAAAGAGGAAGCGTTGGTTGATTAATGCTACTCTGGGCGAACTCTCCATCGAAAGCGCACCGGGCCTGGGGGAAAGTGCATTGTTCCCCCTACCTGAGATCGCCGAACTACTGGGCCGGTCATGCAAAACAGAATGACTTTGATTTCTTTGCATGAAATCTGAACTCTTGCAAACTTTTATGGCTACGCAATTTCTAGGCTATCTGCGATCTTAATACGGCTGGTATGCATGCCAACGGATTTATAGGCAACCGACGCGGCGGTGGATATATTATTATTTCGAGGTCGATGCACGATGGCGCCATTTGAAAATTCAAATTTTTCAGCGTACCCTAAAGGCTGAATTCGACCCCAACCGAAATACGGCTATGACCATTTGTTTCGCTATGCGTCTAACCAGCGTCTCTTAGAGAACCGACCATAGCTCACCTGCTGTTTCTCCGTTTTCACGTCAAGCTCTGATCGCCGCCCCACAGACCACAGGTACTCCGGCTCTTTTCGGTGCACGCCCGGACCGGTGCGGTCATGTCCGATCCAGTCCATTCCGTTCTGTGGTGTTCAGTTGCTGAGGTCACGCTTTCCATTCCCTTTGCACCCACAGCGTGATCCGTTCACACGCGTTTTATTTCTTTCCATCGCATTTCGTTCCGGTCTGATCTAGGATGCATATAGTCTATACATCAATAATCTATACCTGTTGTGTATTTTTCAGTCGCATTTAATCATTTCCAGCCCCGCCGCTTAAGCTTGATCTGACATTGTGAAGTAAACTTTTCTGGGACAGCGCATTGGATCCGCAGGACCGTCGCTTTGGGCTGTCGTCATGCTATAACTGAGGATTTCCAGCCATGCAGTTGGGTTTTTCGTGTAGTTTTGTGTTTCACAACACTGATGTTTTATTTCAACTTGATATTTTGGTGGTATTAAAAGGCAGTGCTCCAAAAAGTGGACTGTTTTACTATTGACGTCATAGGACATTCGTTTTCACATCAAAACGCACACCTCTGTGAACAGCTGCGCCTTGGCTGCGCCATATTTACATGCACGGACGGGGTCTTCGGCTGGTCTTCGGTGAGCATGTTTGGTCTCTGGCGACTCGGGAACGGGCGTGCGCGTGTGTATGTGGACGGGAGCGTGATGTGGAACTGTGTTTGGGAATCTCCAGTTTATAGGGTGTGTATGTAGACTTACGGTACCATCGGCATGCATTTTGAAAAGAATAACATCAAACATGGATGTCAGTTTTTGAAAAGCATGTGGTGTAGAAAATCGATCTCCTTTGCCCTGAGAGCAGATTCTGACATTCCTGCGCCTGAAAAGTAGCCGCATCTCCTTGGAGAATGCCCATCTGCAGGGAGCTATAACATAACTAGCAAGGCGTGAAAGTATCTGATGTGTCAGCTCCGATGCCCTCGTTAGCAAAATCTGTGTGCACAATGTCAAAAAGGTGTTACATTAATTAAGAGGAGTTTGGGAACAATTTTTGTGACAATGTATTTGCAGCAGAGAGGTAACATGGAGCCATTTCCTGAATAGCAAGGGGTGCTCTTCCTGATGATAATGAAGTGGTCTAGTGGATGAGCTGTGGAAATCACAGTTTCATGTTGTAAATATCAGTATTTTATGTGTAAGTCAACACAATTAACTGTGTTTTTATGTGGCATTGCCTTTTTAGAAATATGTGTGTACTGTGGGCATGAAGACAGGGGTGCAGCAGAATGAAATGTGTGGTTCTGCATTTTGAGCAACTGTTACATCCAGATATTTGAGGGCTGGTGAGCATAGCTCTATTTCCTCTGGTTTCATTCTCTATTAGCATAGCTCTATTTCCTCTGGTTCATTCTTTGCATGCTATTTGCCCTGTTCATTCTATGTCCCTGCTATCTCAAAAATAAAAATGCAGCAGTACCACTCAGGTTTATAGCAAAATGTACACCCAAAAGGTATCACTTCTCCATTGTTATAGGCATGGGAAGCCTGGTTGTGCAATAAAAATGGCATAATTGATACTCAACCATTAGTGCAGCATCTGAGGTTCAGAAGGTGCCTTTTCATAGAATTTCACTGATGTCAATGTATTTAATTGCAGTTAATCCATTAAGAGTATGGTAACATTCACAAAAGCAAAGTACATGATACAACTTTTTAAGATATGATTGAGTCTTTCAATCTTAGTAATTATGTGCCTGTGATTAAAAAACACCAAAATTTGAGAGATCAATCCCAGCCCGAAAAGTTGTGTTGGGCACTTTCCTTTTTGGTGAATGTTATGATGGTTTTAATAGAGCAAGGTAAAACAAAGAATATCATAATTGGCCTATGCCTTGACATAGCTTCAATATTGTCAGATTCACCACATGTTTTGTTGAGCATGTGTATTAATGAGAACTAAGTGTATTGTTTATTGCATCAACTGGTATCCATTTTACAATTTTGTGCCAGGGTTCAGTAGTTTTTGTTGTTTGTTAAAGATCTTGACCAAAGATCTAAAGATATGTAGCTAAAGAATGATCATTAAGAATCTGGAATCTATAGCAGCAACTTACAACCAGTCTATAATTACTATTGAATGGTTTTACCTGGCAAGAAAAAACACATTCAGAAAAGACTAGCAAAGGTGACCAATAGATACCAAGCCAGCAGGACAGGTCTTGGTCAGTCCAGCCTTCTGTTTTATTTGGCGCTGAGCGCTCGTTTCCTGCAGGAACAAAGTCAAGACTGCCATCTCTCAGCATTTATACAGAGATCTTGCTGGGAGCCAGCAAACTGCCAGACACCAACATCATCGCGCGATGCCACGCCTCGTCACGTTCGACGTAACCAACACGTTGCTGCGGCTGCGCGTCTCGCCGGGCACGCACTACGCCGCCGTTGCGGCCGAGCACGGCCTGCACCTCTCGGCGGCGGAGGCCGACTGCGCTTTCCGGCGCCATTTCGGCGCGCTGAACGTCGAGTGGCCCAACTTCGGCCGCGGCCTGGCCGGCGGCTGGCGTGTCTGGTGGAGCACGCTCGTCGAGCGCGTGGTGGCCGACGCCGTCGTCGGGCCGCCGCCCACCGCTGCTGCCGGCGCCCCGCTCGCCGACCGCCTGCTGCGTGACTACGCCGGCGCCGCGTGCTGGCGCGCGGCCGACGGCGCCGCGCCGCTGCTGGCCTCCCTGCGCCGCCGCGGCCGCCGGCTCGGCGTCGTTTCCAACTTCGACCCGCGCCTGCACGTGCTGCTGGACCAGCTGAGGCTGCGCGAGTATTTCGACTTCGTGATCGCGGCGCACGAACACCCGTTCTGCAAGCCGGACGGTCGGATCTTCGAGCTGGCGCGGCGGACGGCGGGGGATGTCGAGCACTGCACGCACGTGGGCGACAGCGTAGAGATGGACTACCGGGCGGCGCGCGCCGCCGGCTGGCGCGCGTTACTCGTTGGGGGACCGTACCAAGAGAAGGACGTGGATGTGGCGCACGTCTGCCCGCGCCTGGAGGATTTGGAACACTATCTGGACTGACAGTAATGACGACAGAGTGAACGTGGGGTTTGTCTGGCAGTGTGCAGGTGCCAGCGTTGGGTGTGCCAGAGTAATGGCCCAGCCGTGGGGGCTATGGTTATGGATGGATGTGTTCCGTGCTTTGTGATAAAGCCAAGCTCAGGAGGAATGTGCTGTGGTAACGGCTGTCACTCAAAGTATCGGATAGTGTTCGCGGAATGCACAGTGAATACAATAAACAAACACAAAAGATAAAGTGGTTTGTAATGTATGTAATGTGTGCCCCTAGGTCTGAAACTCTCAGGTCAGAATCCCTGTTGTGCAAAGTACGGCTTTAGGTACGTCTCCCTTTTGGTGGACCAAGGAAGGCTCTGACCGGAGCTTCTGCTGTCCCTTACTCAGTTCGGAACTTCCAAGATATCGGCAGGAGGGGAACAAAACGTGGAACCAAATTACGACAGATGTCTGAATTGGAGACGATCATGGACGGGAAAGGGGCCAATGTCAAATGGTCCTTACGGAGAAGGACACGTGAGGTGACATGCTGAATACTCCTCCCTCTTGAACTGTGCACCATCTCGCGCCGCGCCTGACCGAGCGCCACGCCCCGTTTTCAGGACGTCCTCCCTGCCCGGGAGTGCCGCCGACGAACACGCTGCATGGACGACGGCGCCGACGACGCGTGGCACGGCTCGGCCGACCTTCAGCTGGACCAGAGGACCTGGGAGAAGGTGCAGCGCAGTCTTCACACGGTGAGCGACCGCAGACATCCAGTGGTGACGCGGCGGGAAGGGCTCACTTGCCTGCGGTGATGGGAGTGAGCAAGGGCTCATATAACGGGAGAGGAAATCGGACCTTTTCTCTCCCCCAACATGGCGCAAGTTGGGCAAAATGGCACATGTATTGGCTTTGAAGAAAATAATTTAGTTTTTGCAAGTACAAATTTCAAAATACCCCTTGAGCTAAAAGGGGAGCGAAATCCGACGATTTTTTCTTCTGAAAATAATAACTTTTAGTATTTTACCTCCCTTGAAGTCAGGGTTCTTCCCATCCAACACGGCGTTCTGGATCTTCCCTTGCTGGTGAGAACGTGTGTGTGTGAACGTGTGTGTGTGAGACTGTGAAGCGTGCTTAAACGGCAGGGCCCGTTGTTTGTGTGACTGGTAGTTGCACTGTGGGCTCGTTGGCGCACCTGCGCAGTCACTGGTTTTTAGCACACGGGCACAATTTGTTGTGTCGCAATGATTCGGTGCCGGGCAGGGCAGACTGGTGCTCAGTGATGGGGGAGGTGGGGGGGGGGGGGGGGGGGGGGGGGGGGGGGGGGGGGGGGGGGGGGGGGGAGGGGGCGAAATTGGTGCCTAAAAGGTGAGCATGAGCTTTGATTTTGTAGGCCGAACAGTGAAAACGACAGGATTAGCACGTATGCCGGGGGCCGAAAGGAAGAGACCTGGGCTGCCCCCCCCCCCCCCCCCATGTGGCGATACCACTGGGTACACCTGGTGTGCTGGTCATGCCTGTCGACACCACCAGTTCCAGTGGTGGCCAAATCACCGTTTTGTATCATCCTTTCTGCGTATATCAGCGGAACGGTGGGGAGGGAGTGGCGCTGCTATCATTCGCCCCGGCTGCGCAAGACGTCGAGACCCCAGCTGGTGCACCACCTGCCGGCTGGGACGGGGACACCCACCGGAGATGGCCCCGAGCCGTCATTCCGCGCGCTCCGATGTGGCCCGCCGTCACTTTCGGACATTGATCATTCCGCTAAGGCGCTTGCTGCCATTCCAAAGCTGTCGAGGGCTGCGTCGGCGCCGCTCCGCAAGCTCATCGGGCCTTCCCTTGTGGCCCCCTGGCATGCATCTGGGCGTTAGGATTGCCGACGGAGCATCGATTGCCGACACGAGCGATTGCCGACGGAGCATCGACTGCCGACACGAGCGATCGCTGGCGGCGCTGCCCCATGTGACCATGCGCGTGCTGTCGGCAGGAGGGCTACAGGGAGGGACGCGCGGCCGGTGAGGAGGCCAGCCTGCAGGAGCACTTCGACGCCGGCTACGAGCAGGGTCTGGAGCGCGTCTGGCCCATCGCTCAGCTGCGGGGACGGCTCTGGTAAGGAGCCGACGTACAATAGGGGTGCCAAATCGCCAAAGCCGTTTGATTAGTCACTTAGATTTTCAGCCGTCGTATCACAGGCTCTTCGGTGCGACGATGTTACATGTGTTTGGATAGTACAAACTGGATACTATTGTCCGGGATGAGGTTAAATTCCTTTGCTGTGCTGATGCGCCTTACGAGTCCGTGCACAAACATGCTTTACGTGAGATTCGTTGCCTTGATCATGCATGTTATTGCATATTTTGGTAGCTGGGCTACAGCACCAATTTCACCTGCATCATGCAAATAACACACCAGCAATCGTCACCCTGATGCCGTTGTCGGGATGTGTTCTGTCACTCATCGCCGCTCGTCCCCGTGTATTGCAGTGCGGCCATCGCGCTACATCACCTGCGCGGCGGCGCGCCGGAGCCGGCGGAGCGCGCCGGCACGTTCGTCGCTGGCCTGACCGAGCTGGAGCGACAGCTGGGCGCCGAACGACGCGGCGACGCCGCAGACTCGGACGAGTCCGCCCGCCTGCTGGCAGACGCTGAGGCCGCGCTGCGGACGCTGGCGGCCGACGGCTGACCGCGCAGCATGGCCGACGACGTGGAGGCGGCGGCACGCGCGCTGACCGCGGCGCCGGCCGACTGGGCCACGGCTGAGCGGCGGCTGGCGGCGGTGACGGCGCGGCTGCGGCACGAGCCCGACTGCCTGTCGCCGCCGGCGCTGGCCCGCCTCGCCGGCCTGCTGGCCGCGCCGTCAGTCGACGCCGGCGCCGCCGCGGCGGCCGCGCTCGCCGAGGCGACTCGCTGCCTGCGGAACGCGGCCGCCGTCTCGCCAGAGTACCGCGCGCGGCTGGCAGCTGACGAGCCGCTGCTGCGGCGCGCTGGCGCGCTGCTGCGCCAGTTGCGCAGCCGGCCCGAGCTGCTGGTGCCAGCGCGCTGCGCCGTGCAGCTGCTGGGGAACGTGGTGTCGGCGGGGCCTGAGGCGCAGCGCGCCGTGTGGGCCGCTGTCGGTGACGTCACGCTCGACCTGCTAGGCAGCGGAGACGAAAAGCTGCCGCTGTACGCCGCCATGCTGTTCTTCAACGCGATCAAAGGCAGCGGGGAGCTCACGGTCAGGCTGCTAGCCCGCGACGACTTCGGCTCCGTCGCGGCCGCCCTGCTGACGCTGGTGTCGCGGGACTCGGAGTTCGCGCTCTTCGGCGCGGAGGAGCTGTGCTCGGCCGACCTCGCGCGCGTGTACACGGCGGTGCCGGCCGAGCACCGCCCGCTGCTGCTGGACATTGCGCTGAGCGCCTGCGAGCGCGACCGACTGGCGCTGCCGCTCGAGGCGGCGCTCTTCGTGAAGGAGCGGTTCCGTGCGCTGGCGGAGCCGCTGCTGACCGCCGCGGGCGACGCCGAGCTGACGGCCGACGCCGTCGAGCTGAAGAAGCTGCTGGAGCTGCTGGGAGCGCTGTCGGCCGAGGAGCCGCTCCGGCCGCCGCTGCAGGCGGACCTGGCGCTGCTTGAGGCGGTGGTGCGCCTGCTGCGCGCCGTGCACGAGCTCGGCAGCGCTGACGGCACTGCCTTCAGCACGCTCGCCAAGCTGGCCGAGCTCGAGGAGGCGGGCGACGACGCCGTCAGCGCCGAGCCGACGTTCGGCCTGAAGGCGCAGCTGGTGCGACTGCTCGGCAATCTGGTGTGGCGGCGGCCGGACGCGCAGCACGCCGCGCGCCGGCTTGGCGCCGTGCCCGTCGTGCTCGAGTGCTGCAACCTGGACGCGCGCAACCCGCTGCTGCAGCAGTGGGCGGTGGTGGCCGTGCGGCACCTGTGCGAGGCGTGCCTGGAGAATCAGGCGGCGATCCGGGAGCTGGAGCTTCAGGGCCTGGCGCCGGAGGCGGCCGAGGAGCTCCGCCAGATGGGCGTCACCACCGTCCGCGAGGCCGGCAGGATCCGTATGCGGCCGGCGCAGCGGTGATCAAGGCCCTGAGTGGGGACGATGGCCCCGGCTGGCGACGGCACCGGTGGGGCGCAGCACAGGGTGCGTCTGTCGACAGCCTGGGGCGCGGACGGTCCGCAGTGGCTAAAACATGCCGAGTGACGATCTGTGAGGTGATTTTGCATACATTTGCGAAACTTGGAGTTTGAGTTTGAGAACGAGAGAGAGAGAGAGAGAGAGAGAAGAGAGATAGAGAGAGAGAGAGAGAGAGAAGAGAGAGAGAGAGAGAGAGTAGAGAGAGAGAGAGAGAGAGAGAGAGAGGAGAGAGAGAGAGAAGAGAGAGAGAGAGAGAGAGAGAGAGAGAGAGGAGAGAGAGAGAGAGAGAGAGAGAGAGAGAGAAGAGAGAGAGAGAGAGAGAGAGAGAGAGAGAGAGAGCGAGAGAGAGAGAGGAGAGAGAGAGATAAGAGAGAGAGAGAGAGAGAGAGAGAGAGAGAGAGAAGAGAGAGAGAAGAGAGAGACTGAGAGGAGAAGGCGAGAGAGAGGAAGAGGAGCGCGATATAGCCGAGAGAGAGAGAGGAAGAGGCGAGAGGCTGGAGAAGAGAGAGAGAGAGAAGCGGATAGAGAGAGAGCGGGGCTCGCGAGGGAGAGCTCGGAGGGGCGAGAGAGAGAGAGTGTGTGTGTTTTGTGTGTGTTTGTCGTGTGTTTGAGTGTGTGTGTGGGAAACCGGTCAGCCTAGGAGTACCTGCGTATATGGCGACCAAAGGTATTTGTGTATAAAGTTGTGCGATGTTTGGTGGACGGGCTGAATTCTGTGGGTTGATAGTACAGTTTGCTGCATTTGCCGCTCGTATGTGCAATGGTCCCGTGACCGCATTTTCCTTGATGCCACGACCACGCGAGATTTCCAAAGAAGCAGAAGTATTTTGGTATAAACGCTGGGCTTCCCGGTTTGTTGACATTTATTACGAAGAACGACCACCATGTGCAAAATAGCGTACGTGGACGCAAGCGCACGTGCAGGCTGCGGACGGAAGAGACCATCTGAATTCCTCGCTGGCTCACAAGAGGTTCGGCTTGTGTCCTGGTACGTGCAGTGCCGCCGCACCACTGCGTCGCCTGACAGAAAATGTGCCAGAAAATATTCCAGAAGGTTTGTGAAAGGACCGGTTCCACCTGTACGCTCTAAAACGTCCCCAGTCGCTTCCACGGCCAGCGGGGATAGCTGGCGTGACCAGGGATAGCTGACGTGACGGGGGATAGCTGCCGTGACCGGGAATAGCTGGCGTGATCGGGAATAGCTTGCGTGACCTGGGATAGCTGGCGTGACCTGGGATAGCTGACATGACGGAGGATAGCTGGCGTGATAGGGGATAGCTGGCGTGACCGGGAATAGCTGGCGTGACCGGGAATAGCTGGGGAATAGCTGGCGTGACCGGGAATAGGTGGCGTGACCTCGGATAGCTGGCGTGACCGGGAATAGCTGGCGTGACCTGAGATAGCTGGCGTGACGGGATAGCTGGCGGGACCGGGAATAGCTGGCGTGACCAGGGATAGCTGGCGTGACCGGGGATAGCTGGCGTGACCGGGAATAGCTGGCGTGACCGGAGACCGTCCTCCACTGACAGAGCTGTACTTGATTCCGCTTCTGCAGACTCGATTTGACGTCCGACTCACAGCGCGTGGAGTCGATTTCGTCCCCATCGCCTGGCGCGTCCCGGCTGGGGATCGCCAGTTGCTGACGTCATTGTGAGGTGCTCAGATCGTACGTCGGCAGCTGAGGTCAGTCCCTCCACCGGGGCGACACCGGGGGCGCTGAAGCGCTCTGTCCGCAAGCCCAGACTGCCGCGCCGAACGTGTCCGGCTCTGCCGCAGGCGAACCCGACACGGCGGTGTACAAGGCAGCCGGAATCAAGGGTTCATGGAGAGTCTGGTTTGCAGCGCGGTCCCCAACTTGCAAGTGCATTCTGCAGGTGCAGGTCTCGCCCACCCTCCCGCCGTGCCCGTGGCTCACTGACGCCCACGGGCTGCGAGATGTGCGTGAGATGGGCCTCGCCCGGGCTGGCTGTGATGTCGACCCGCACTGGGAGACTATCCGGGCCTGGCGAGCTAAGTGATTCGATTGGCCCGATTTCATGCGGCTGTGTCTTCCGATCATTACACTCGTCTTAAGCGACGGTGAGTGTATCTGAGGTAGGCAGGAGACCACTTATTTCAGGCTTGCCTTCCCGTTTGCTGTTCACATGCCAGCGTGTACATGTTGATACATTTTAGGTTGAGCATGTCAAATAGAATGCCAAACAGGTCTCAGTGTTGAGTGACCTGACCTGACATTCAACTATTCGCATGCCTAAAGTTACCAGACGTTTAACAGAGCATCAATGGCACCAGTTGCACAAGTGCGCGTTGGAAACCCGTAGCGCATGCAGATAGGTACAGGGGAAGGGACGGCCGAATGGGCTTTACCAGATGCGTCTGTGTACTTGTGAAAATGTAGAATGGAACATTCATTTTTATAGACGTCACATTGTCTGATCTGGGTGTAGCTATGGGCGTAATGTTTTTAAAATCATTTTAACTGCGGCAGTTCCCGGCCGTTTGGCAATGAATGCTCACTGCGCTCCTGTGCGAGCTATCGGTGCAACAGTAGCCATCCAGGTCCATAGCCAGGGGCACGTTCATCTGTCACCAAGCACGTGTGCGCTAAGCTAACTGTTCCAGAACATAGTGAAAGCTTTTCAAGAAGCCACATGATCAACGCTAGAGGAGATTTGAGTGTGTTCGAAGACCTTTGGCCCCACTCGCTGAGATTGTGCAATATCCATGCGGTGGCAATGCTGATCTCTGTTCTCAGCTCGCCGCTCCCACACTACGCATGGTGCTTGCTTAGTTAATGCACATAGACGCTTTAAGGTGATAAGATGATTACTGTGACAGTGTAACTATAGCCTCGGATAGATGTACGTAGCTCAATCGGGCTCATACATCAGGCCGTCAAGCAGTGTTGGCTTCCACAGCGGTACTTATGACAGAGACGGGAGAAGTCGTTGAAACGGTGCATTCTTATTAAAACTCATGTGCCGCCAGAAAATGGTCGAGACGCTTTAGTACATAACTGTGTTGATGTGCTCAAATAAGGCCTTTTCATGTCATGAGCATCGAGTGCATCACTCCATCATCATGCCGAAACTTGTGCGCGTGCGGGTTCGCTGGAACAGTATCAGTGTCAAGCGCAGTGGGCTTCGGTCGGTCGGTGGTTCACTGCTGAGCCGCCGGTGTTGGACAGCTGGCGTTGTCGTCGCGGGGCTGCTGGAGCTGACGTTCAGCCACGGTTCCCGTTGCGGCGGCGGTTGTTCCGCCCGCCACGTCCGCCGCGTCCGCCGCCACGTCCACGTCCGCCGCGTCCGCCGCGCCCGCCGCCCCGCCCCCGTCCGCCGCCACGGCCCGGCCGCTGGCCCGGCTCCATGAGGGCCAGTCCGTGCGACCTGACCGAGATGCAGGCGTAGGCGGCGGACGTGTGCCAGCAGATGAGAGCGCCGGTCACGGTGGTGTCCTCCTGGCGGGAGCACTCGTCAACGATGGCCACGGCAGCCTGCTTCATCCACTCCGGCCCTTCCGTGTCTTCCACGTTGGCGCGCATGACGTCAAAGTTGACCTCGTTGCCGTCAGCTTCGCCGAGCGCCTGCATGGAGCAGTTGGAAGTCTTTGAGAGCAGGTCCAGCTGCTCACCCACAGCGGCCACGTCTTCGGCTGACGGCGGCTCCACGCTGTTGTCGCCGCTCTGGACGGCCGACAGGTAGGCGGCAGCGTACTTGAAGCCACCCTTTAGTTCGCCGAAGTCCAGACCAGTCTCCGCCATGCAGGTCACGAACGTATCCTTCTTGTCTTCGTTGTACAGACTTTTGAAGCAGTGGCCCTCGGCCAGATAAACGAGCGCCTGGCCCACATCGCCGCCGTTCTCGGCGTCCACGGACGCACCGAGCTCCTCCATCTTCGTCCGCTTGCACTCGAGAACGCTGAGGCTGTGCCAGCAGGCCAAAAAGTAGACGCCCTGCTGCGACACCGTCATGTTGGGGCTCATCATCATCTCGCACAGCTGGAGATGCTGGCGCTGCGTCTCCTGCCACTGGCTGTCGGACGAGACCGAGGCCAGCAGCTCGTCCTGGGCGCTTTCGTTCAGGCCCTGGTCGTCCACAAGGTTAAAGCTGAAGCGAGAGGAAACAATCTTCAAACAGAGGCAGAGGTCAGACGACGGCTGAGGTCAGACAGTTGAGGTCAGACAGAGGCAGGGATAGAATGAGGTAGAGGTCGGACAGGGGCACAGGTTAGACAGAGGCTAGGCCAGACAGGGACACAGGTTAGACGAGGTGGAGGCAGACAGAGACAGAGGTCAGGCCGATGATGAGGTCACACAGAGGATAGGTCAGACCAAGGCGAGATCGGGTGGAGGCAGAGGCCAGGCAGCGGCAGACATTCAATAGAGGAGCGATCATGTCTGGTGAGAGCCGATCTACTGCCGTGGCCTGTCAACGGTGGAACAGACTCGGAGCCTGGCAGAATGTCGAGGAGAGCTCGCCAATGGTATCCGTTCGATCAGCAACGAAACGCCGGTCACCGGGTCGCGGATGTACGGTGCCCGAGCTCGCATCCGGGTAATGGGGCGCTGAGATATCCTGCCCATTTAACGGGTATGGCTTTACAGGAGTTACCACACAGCCGTCGCTTGGTTGGTAGCACCACCAGATGAAGGTCCTAATTCCTTTGCATTCACCCACTTGTACATGAAAGACACCTATTCCGCAAGGTATCGGAAGTTCGTGCGGTCGTTGTTATGCAACCGTGATTTGGCCGCCAGTCCGGACGCCCTCACCTCTCCGCCATGCACTCCAGCAGACCCTTCATGCCGGTGCCGGCGGCTTGCGCCGTCGCGTTGCAGGCGCTCATATCGAGCTCGAAGTCGTCGGGGAGGCAGCCGGCCGCCTGCAGGTCGAAGTCCATGGCCATGCTGGGGGGCATGTCGTGCTTGCCACATCCGGGCCCGCCGCGCCCGCCACGCCCGCCACGCCCGCCATTTCGTCCTCGACCTGCCGGGTAAACGATGGCTGAAGAACCGGCCGGCACCGCCAGACACCAGAAACAGTGGGCGAGGTCAGCCTCATGGGCCACACTGTCTGAGCAAAATGCTGGCGCCAGCGAAAGCGTCAGGAAGGTCGGTATTACGCTCGGACATCTGTGCTCGAAGTCATTAAGACCGAAGAGACAGACCAAGCGAATATGACTTGGTCGCACGCGCCAGTGCGTCGGAAGCGCGTCAGCTACAGCTGAACCGGCCCCAGGCCAGCTCCGTAATGAATGGGCCAGGACCAGCAGCAGGTGGAAGGCCAGCCGTCAGCAGCGGCTTGAGCTCGCTGCATAGCGAGAGGCCGGACACGGCGGCGCTCACGGGCGGCCTCGGAGAGTGCGGTGAGCGCGAGCAGCAGCACGGCGAGGCGGACGAGGGACGCCATGGCGCAGCAGTGACGCTGGTGAGGCGGAGGTGGCCCGTTTTATCCCGCCGGCTCTTTTCAAGCGATCACTGGTCGGCCGAATGTGCGCGTGGTCCGTGCCATGCCGGAAGCGCCCCGTCAGTGCGTGCGCTGGGCGGGGCGGCCCGAGCCTTGGGAGTGTCAAGAGTTTCCGGTGTTTGTCATCCTGACTATGATTTCTTTTCAACAATGCTACCGGTGATTAGCATCAGTCAGCGCCAACCGGGGTGGGGCTTTTTAACCGTCCGCAAATGGCGGTAGACCGGCAGGTTCACGCTATGGAATCGTTCGGTCCAAAGCTGACAGGAAAAAGCGGAGAACGCTGATGGTCTCTGGCGATGCGTCTAAATATAAGCGCGTTAAAGCAGCGTTGCTTAGGAAGTTAGTGCCAGCAAGGCTTTTACTCTCGCCCATCCTGCAAGGGACTATGGCGAAGTGGTTTGACTAAGAACTATACACAATGAAGAATTGCACACAAACTCTCGCAGCACCGACAACAGTTGTCATGGTGATGACTAGACGCACACATCGTGGGCTGCGGACAGGTTTTTCTTGCCCAGTTACAAGGTACATGACGACCGAGATCATGCAAGTGCGTGTTTGCCGAGAATGTCAACAGGTCACCACTGCTCTCCGTGGTTGGTCCTGCAGTATCGCCGCAGCATAGCAATATCACCACACGGACACATTCCAACACACACAATTCTTGGGCCCGCTTGCCTTTTTCGCGCAGTCCTGCAGGGCTGCGGCTTCTTGTCTATTGCGAAAGGGGGAACCGAGGGACGAGTCCCGGTCATAATACATGAGGCTCGGTTGGCCATCACTCATCACAGACACGTCTAAACGATTTGACGAGTGCGGCAGACCTATGATGCCACGCACCGTACGTCCCGTCTGGGCCACATGCCGGGAAAGGGCAGGAAAAGGGCGCGTTCTCTCGGAGAGTACGCGATCCTTTCGAATCTCGGTTGGCGCACTGGTTCTGCAATGCCATGGCGCAAGCAATCAGCCACGGTATACGCGGTGTGGTGGCATAATGTGAAGACACAATTAGGCTGATCAGGGTGTTAAGTGCTGTTAATCTTTTCTTTTCCGGCAGCAAGCAAACCAAAATGACTACCTCCAGTTTGCGGTGTGCTTTTGTGAGAAATGCATGAGAAGACTGTCCTTTAGCCTGAACAATAAGAAATCCCGTGCATCTAAACAGTAGCCCCTGCGAGTGCTTTAAACAGTGCCAAACGGCATTGTTCGACTTATCATAACTTTTTGCCGTGATATGAGGCGACCAGTAAAATGAGTTGGATATCCAGAGCGTAGTTCGTAGAGCGTAGTTTAGGGCGTTAACGCCACGCAGTGCTTTGGCTGCGATATTTTAGTTGCAGTTGCCATTATATGAGTGTACTGCACGTCGGACGCAACAGTGAATTGAATGGGGGGTGACAGGGCCAATAAGCGGTCTTTCAGATGCTCGGCGACCCTCCTCTGCAGACAGAACATTTTGACCGGCAACAAAAGGTAGTAGCTATGATGACTAGCCAAATGTCAAGTAACCCTCGGAAAGAGGCTCACGAAGTTAATCATATAAAAGCCTCAATTTACGCTTGTGGAATAGTGACTAAAATATTGACAATACCTTACAGGATTTTCTCGCCGATGCGTGACATCTGTTGTGGCTGTAGCGTAGCTATGTCGCTTAAAATAACAACGTGTGTTTAGTTGCCCTCGGCAGCATAGTGCGCATTGAAAGCCGTATGAAATACGCGCTGTGTTCTGAAGAATGTCAAAAGCGCGGGACCAAGCCTTTTTGTGAAGTCTTCCTTTAAAACGCATTGAACTAATGACGATGCGAGCTTCTTATCAATGGCCTAATGTTTAAGAGGCTAAGTAGAAGCGGCTTCCTTGTGGTCCGCATGCTTACGTGATACAGCTTAGAACTAGGTACGCCCGTACCGCTGCTTAATAAAACGGGGCCCAGGCAGCGGTATTCCCATTGCTAGGAATATATATCTCTGCACAGTTAGACAAAAGCCAAATCCGATACAGCTTTCATCAAACTTATACCACCTCAAGTTCCATGCTCAAACGAACGTTTTACAGAGTTTATGTACATCCGATGTTTGCTGTTATCGATGGCGAGCCTGCCATATTCCATTATTCACACAAATCGCTTGTATCAACATTTATTTTTAACTTAGTACCGCCCGTGTGTCTGTATCGTCAACTCAACGCAATCCTACCGATGGTTCAAGCAAGCCGGCTAGCTAACGCGTTTGTGACAAATTGTTTAACGTCCAAGAGACAAATCAGACGGTTATTCTTCTGCACAGCCTGATGATTCTCATTGAAGGTTAGTGTCATTACACCTTTGCGTGGGTAACGAAAGACTGGCCTTTTTTCTCCTTTACTAGGTTCATGTAATCAAGACCTTGAACAATGATAATGTCTCCAAAGAAGTGGAAGAAAATATTTCCATCATCCGGACACCTTGGGAAATTGTAGTCCAGCATACCTTCCAGCGCGTTCTAGATCCTTTCGGTAGGTTTTTGAGCGTGACACGAACGCTCAGCTTCTCTCAACTGCGGAAATAGTGACCACTGCCAATGATGAGCACAATAGCTGCGAGGATACTGAAGCCCAAAGGTTGCATTATTTTGATAATGTATTCGTGCATGAAGTTTTCCACATAGTCGGGCGCTTTGCCTACTAACAGAAATGTACATCCCGGCCGGTGTGCAACGCCCGCGATGCTTTATCTTTCACTTTTCGCGTAGAAACTTATTGCGTATTAGATGGAAACTTTCTTCATTTTCTACTTATCTGGGGTCAGAATGAACCCACTTAGGTCAAACTTTGAGGTTCCTAGGCCATAACCTATTGTTCCTAGGTTCTATTGTCCTATTTTCCTATTATATTCTAGGTCTTATTAAGTTGCAACAAGGTCAAGTTCTAGGTTGGTCTCCAAGGTGCCCCAGAACCTAGATAACCATTCTAAGCCAAAATTTCATGATTGTTTAAGGTCAGTGACCTAGTTCGACCTCATGAAAGTCATGGTGACCAACATCATACAAGACTGCTTTGAGTTCTGCATTTGAATAAGCGACAAATATTACGTTAGACGGTATATTCCTTGAAACAAAATGTTCACCTGGGTCATTTGAGGTCAGTGGTCTATTCTGACCTTAAAGATAAGGAAGATAAATAATACGGTTCCTGTTATCAATAAGTCCGAAATGAGCACCAGGAACTATTCCATACAGCAGCCCCTAGAGTAATAAAACAGGTTGGTTTTTACTTTGGTTTGACCTTCATACCTGGCCCTAGGCCGATGTAATTCGCTTATTCAATTGTTGTGCTGCCTGAGAAAGTGTTTCAGAGATGTATGGCTTCGTCTAACACTTCGTTGTAACATCAGGTTGAACGATTCCCTAGAAAATGACTTCGCTGAAACCATGACCTGGTTTTGACGCGCCATAAGTCAGCGAACTTACAAGGTGCATCTAAATTGTTGACACCAAACGATTCGCTCTGCAATTGTTCATAGCTAGTCAAAATTTGGCGCGGCTACGCCGCACCGTTCAGCAACTATTCCGGACAAAAATATTTGCGGGCCAATTTAATCTTCACCCGAGCGCGTGTTAAACAACTCGAAACACATGCATATGCATAGTTATATACACTTGTGGCCAAAGCACAGCTTAAATAACCGTGGTTTTTATCGGGTCCTTCACACCTGATAACTTACAAAGCGTCGAGCATTGACAATATTACCAGTATTTGCTTCATAACGTCGCTTTCCCAGTGCCTCCTGGCATATTGAAGGTCGATGGCACAGCAAAATAATTATCAGCTTATCATGTCTCCATTATTTATCATGTAATTATCAACCAGATATTTACCAGCAATACAGAGTCTATCCGGCACTGTTGTAATGAGTCCGAGCGACTGATAGTACATCGAACAGAACTCGGCGCATGCGTCCTGCAAACGTCTGCAAGGTCAAAATACTTCTGAATACGTGACAGGACTTTGGCGCTTGGGTCAGCGGGCATCGATTAGCGCGGATAAACAGCTTTTCAGATATGCATGCGTTGCAGTCTCCGGCGTACCGAAATACATTTCAACTTACCAGCAACACAGCCAGTCCAGTTTTGCAAGCATACTCTAGTAAGGTTTCACCTGCATGGTGCCACATCCCTGAAGTAGTGCGTGACAGCAAAATTCCTCTTTAATTAGGAGTGTCTTCTGGTCAATAGCTGTCCCATTACCGGACATAACGTCGCCGGAAATGATACTGGAATCTAGTTTTGATATGATCCGATTTTGCACCGTTAAAATGCAACAATAGTCCAACCTGCCGAAAGTTTATTGTAATGAGAGAGAAATTGTCTGAAAAGCAGGTGCAATTTGAATGACAGCTTGAGTGGTGCCCTAACGTCCCCAATTCGCGATTTTTTACTCCAGCGCTAGCTGACCCCGGTATTACCTGTGCCGAATCAAACACACGACTCTGTGAAAATGCATGTCACAATAGCTCAATCTCTTTTCACGCCGATGTCAGAACACCCAGTGGTGTGAAATGACGCTGATGTCCGCGTCTGACGCGCCGCCGATCCGCCCGGGACGCGCACCCACGTGGGACACGGGTGAATGGTGCCCGTTGTGCTGGCGGCTGTCATGACTCAAGCCACGCTTTGTCCGCAGTGCATGCGGCGCTCGCCAGGGACGGGGGCGTTTGATTGACGAATCGGCTGTGGAAATTGGGGGCAACACAATCGTTTTCCAAGCTTGTATTGTCCTACTGTCATTGACAAGGAATCTTTCCGTACACGGAAACACGGGTGTCGATTTTTACTCTTTTGGGTGGGCCACTGCTCCTCCAAATGTCCAAACTGCCCCCCTCGCAACGGCGGTTTGCCCCCCCCCCCCCCCCACCATTTAGAGCCCCATTACATAAAGGGCATTACAATTAGAAGCTTGAAATTATATAATATGTATAAAA